CTCTCTCTCTCTCTCTCTCTCTCTCTCTCTCTCTCTCTCTCTCTCTCTCTCTCACCTGGCAACAGGCTCCACCTACCACTCCATCCTTGGGATGCCTCTGTCATCCCCTCTACCCACTGCTCAGGACTAACTCATAGCATCCGGGCCACATAATGAATGATTCCTCTGCAGAAATGGTCCCCTGGGAGGCAACTCAGTGGAATGAAAGGAGAAAGAATTGTAACCAGCAAGACCGAATTTGATACCCATTATATCTTTTATTAGCTGTTTGGCCTTCAAAAGTTACTGAAACTCTCTGAGCCTCAATTCAGCACCTGTAGAATGGGTCAGATCTCACCCTTTGGCACAGCTTCTGTGGGGATGTAGTGAAAGGACGCAGTGAGACTGGCTGGTTGGTTCAGAGGACATCCAGTCCATTTTAGCTCGCGTCTCCTCTTCCTCACCAGAATCCAGCAAACCTTACTTTCATTCTACTGGAGGAAAAGCTTCCTTACTAATAGGCACTCTCTGTCCTCTGCCACAGATATAACCTATAATATTTGTAGTGGCGGCTGGAAAAACTAGCAAAAGCCTCTTCTAATTATTTGAAGATCAATAATTTAAGCCCTGTGGTTACTCTGTATTAACCAGAAAATTTAATTAACCAGAAAAAAAAAATCCCCAGACATACCATATGATAGATTTTTCTTCATAAGGAGCCTATTGCTCTGAATTGTATTGTAATTTGTTTTAGATCTTCACTAATGTGATAGTTTAAAATAGTATAACATGCTTCTTGTGAGAGTGCCAACTGCTACATGCTTTGTAGAAGGAACACAATTTGCCATATGTATCAGCTGCCATAACAATGAATTTCTTTCTATCCCATAATTACACATCTAGGAATCTAAGCTAAGGAAACAGACATAGACAAACAGTATGTACAAATATGTGCAGTCCTGCAATATATCGATATAGTGAAATATCAATATAGTGTGGAGGAGAGAACGAATATCCAATATTAACTTAATGGTTAAATAAAGCATGACATACCACAGAACAAAATGTAACCACTAAAAAATGGCATTTTAGAAAAAAACCATTCATTGTGTAGAAGAAATTCTTACAATATAAGCTTTATGTAAAAAAATTTTTTTTCTTTTTCTTTTTTACATAACATTTAAACTGTAAGTTAACTGTAATTAGATAAGCATGTCTGCATGTAACTATCCAAATTTAATAGTGGATATTTGGGTTATGAGATTATGGACTCTTTAGTTTCCTTTTTCATATATTTATGTATTTTTCAAGCATTCTAACAATGCTTTACCGAGGACCAACCACGAATCAGGCGGTACATTTGGGGCTTTCACATTCGGTGTCTCACGCCGTCCTCACAACAGTCATTCATCAGTGTCCCCGGCCTGTGGATAAGCATCATCACCTGCATCACTATCAACGTCAGAGCTAACATTTAAGAGATGCATTATATGCTGCATGTTACTCTAGGAACTCTTCGTGGATTAACTCATTCAATCTTTATAACAAACCTATTGAGGTGATTTTTATTATTAGACCCATTTTACTGACAAGGGAACTACTAACATGGAGGCACATGGGGACACAGGGCCCAACATCATCAAATTAGCAAGCACTGAAGTCAGCTCCACACCCACCTCCTCCTCTAATAATAAGGAAACTGGGGTTAGAAGAGGATGTTGCCCAAGGTCACAGACCTGGTATGTGGCTGAGCCAGGCTTCAAGCCTGAACTGCCCAAGACCCTGCTGTGGTAACCAGCGCCCTGCTCTCAGGCAAACAGGCAGACTCAGAGCTGGCCAGCCCTTGCTCACTCCCACTTCAGGTGCATTCAGATGGCTAACCTAGGCCACACAGAGCCTTAGACCCCTGATACCACGATCTCTGAGGCCCCTGCATCCACTAACATTTGATGATTTAATTATTCCAGTCTTATTTGGACATCTTTCTTATTGAAGACTTGTCAGAAGCACAAACTGGGGATATTGCAAGACCAGTCTTATTCCAGGGGGGATAAAAGAATGTGTATTCTTTTATCTGACAAGGTCTGACAGTTAAGTTCGCGAACTTGTTGCAACAATATTGCTAACCTTTTTTGATATCAGAGGGATTATTCATTAGGATTTGTACCAGTTGGACAAACAGTTAACCAAGTTTACTATTTGGAAGTGCTGAAAAGGCTGCGTGGAAAAGTTAGACGACCTGAACTTTTCACCAACAATTCATGGTTCTTACATCACAACAATGCACCAGCTCACATGACACTGTCTGTGAGGGAGTTTTTAGCCAGCGAACAAATAACTGTATTGGAACACCCTCCCTGCTCACCTGATCTGGCCCCCAATGACTTCTTTCTTTACCTGAAGATCAAGGAAATATTGAAAGGAAGACATTTTGATGACTTTCAGGACATCAAGGGTAATACAATGACAGCTCTGATGGCCATTCCAGAAAAAGAGTTCCAAATTGCTTTGAAGGGTGGACTAGGCGCTGGCATCAGTGCATAGTTCCCAAGGGGAATACTTCAAAGGTGACTGTAGTGATATTCAGCAATGAGGTATGTAGCACTTTTTCTAGGATGAGTTCACAAACCTAATTGTCTGACCTCGTATTATTAGAGATAGAAAGATAGAAGGGGCAGAAAAGCAAAACAATGCTAGTCTCAGCTGGCCTGAATGTAGGGCACTGGGAAACCCACTCCAAATGCACTCCCCATGCAAATTCTGATCTACATATGGATGCATTTACTTATAAACATCAGATGTCCCTGTTCTGTAAACTTCAAATTCTATTCAGACACTCTCCCTCCCCTGCCCACTTGAGGAGCTCTCTTCAGAATGACAAGAACCATTGTCCAAGACTGGGAAGAGTCACTCAGTACTTGGTAATTAGCATAGTAAATGGCGTCGCTTTCTAAAACGGCGCAGTGGATGAGTAGAAATATCTGGCAAAGAGCTGGAATGCAAACATGCCGTTGCAGTTGCTGCAGACATGCCATATCACTTGGAAAGAACAATATAAAAACACTCTGGTTCTGTTTATAAACAGAGTATGACATTGTGATGTAACACATATCAGTATTCAAATATTTACTAGAAGACAATGTATTCTAACATGACAGAGTAATTGGAAATTGGGTCATATGTTCCAGTAAGCTATAAAACTTTTTTTTTAATATTTTTACAAAAGGCCTTAATGTGTTTTTATAGACTTATGTTATATGGTATGTTACATAATAAGAGAAAAGGACCCAGACAGGCTTGTCTGAGTTACGATCGGGAAAGCCCTGACACCGCCAGTGAATGTAAGCTCTGCATTGTGTTGCAATTGAAATGTCTCATTACCAGAACAGTGAACTGTATTATGTGGCACAATCTGCTCTTTTCCTACCATGCTAAGTTTACTCCTGTCAGGTTCCTGATTTCTTAATATATTTTCAATTTTCTCCCTCATCCCTGAAGTCTCCTATTTTATGTAGTCGTCAGAACCTTCCAAGCATCTATGAGAAAAACTCATTCTTTCCAAAAACCTTGGCATCGTATTCCGTGTTCACTGGGGCTGCAATTTAGCATTAGCAATTTTCTAATGTATCATAAAGTCATCAGCTCGAGCTGGCCTCTGATGTAATAGGGCTCAGCTGACAGAGCCAGGCCCATTTCATCTCCCCTCGCATTGATGGCAGTATTAACACTCATTAGAATGTATTAGCATGTTCGGGGCCAGGTAGTAATTCAGCCACCCAGGAGTCTTACTCAAGCAAGCCACATTGCTCATCTTATCATGAATACTTCAGATGTACTTACCCAACTAGGGGAACAAACGTGTCATGGCCTTTGGAAATCCATGAGATCAATGCTTATTTTCATTGTGCCCAGACACCAGGGATGTTAGAGATAGTCCAAGGGCCACTTGGAGTTCATTACCTCAGACATCCCCCAATTTCCCAATAAAAGCCCTTTCCTAGTCCGTTCCACCAGAACGCCACCGTGGCTGTCGTCACAAGGCCTCACTGACACGTAATGAGCGTCTCCTACGTGCCCAGAATGGTGCTTTACTCAACACATTTCTTTGAAACCTCAAATAACCTAAAAAGAGGTTCAGAAACTCACTTTGCAGAGAAGAGACCTGAGGCAAAGAGAAATTAAGTCACAGTTCCTGCCCACAAGGAACAGAGGCTCCGGGCGGCACGTATGCCAATTCCCTGTCTCCAGAGTTGACCACAGCTAAGCCACACCACACAGACGCCAACCACGCTCTGACCCTCCTTTCCCAAAAGAAAAAAACAAACACGTCCTGAGCACGATACGGAGGGTCATGAGACTGTTACAGTCCTGGCTCTGCCACCGACAAGCTGAGGAAAGAGCTGGTTATCGCTGGGCCTCAGTCCTGAGAAGGAAACTGAGGAAGGGTCCATAGGGGAGGGTGGGAAGCGGGAAGGATGAGAAAATCTCTGAGGCCTCCCTCTTCACAGGACATCACCAGATAGGGTAAGAAATGATGTTCCCACACTCTCTACTCAGGGAGCTAACTTCCCATCAATGAATCTCCTTCTCTTTGAGTACTTACATAACGCCTTCCATGGAACACTGCTCAAGACCTAACAGTCTCCTCATTTAATCCTGCAAGGTAGCTACTGTGCTCCAGTCTCATATTACGGGGTCGAGGCCCCATCAGTGTAAGTAACTCGCCCCACAGACACTGAGCTAGGACGCAGAGGAGCCAGGATTCACACCCAGGTTTATCTGACTCTTGAACCCCTGTTCTTCCTAACTGTGCTGTACTCTTGGCCTTGGATGGACCAATGTGGAAGGCTTTCCCCTCACTTTACCTGTCATGGCATCTGCCTACGTTTCTAAACAAGGGAGATTCCATATTTTAAACTAAATCTGGAGGGGAGGAAATTTGAAATGCCTTCAACTCAAATGCAAGCCTCCAATACACGGGTGAACTAACTGGCTTTTTCTAGGAAAGAACGACCAGCATTTTTAGAGCAAGCGTTTCAACCAAGAAGCACTTTAAGTTGTTGCTTTTGAAAGGTTCAGAAAGTAAAACTGGGGCAAAGAAAATAGAGGGAAGAAGGGATGGACTATGAAATGACTGACTGACCTGCTAAAAAAGAAACCCAGAGTTGGAGACAGCAGAATTACAGTCTTGACATTGGTCCCATACGGGTTATTACTCTTGATATCATTATTGCCAAATGGAATGAAAATAGAAGGGGGAGAGAAATCTCAGTGGGTATTGCAATTTAAATTTGCCATGTAAGCTAATACTGTATATTTAGAGACTGAGCAGACAGGGTGGTTGGTGGCTCAGAGTATGTGCAGAAGTTGCTGTGCCAGCTAACCAAAGCAGACATTCATTAGAGCAAAATGTAGATTTCCATTTCTTGGCATCTGACATGGGCTCTTTCCTTGGAAAGAAATGTCAATTTGGCCAAAAGTGTGAAACCTACAATAAAAGCATTGGGACTGTGGATTTCATCTAGTCTGCACATTCCCACCCCTTTCTTTCCTACTGTGGAAATCCAGTAGAGACTTGGGGTGCTGAGCGGAGAGGGTGGCAGGGGAACTGATTAAGACATGGGATGCTGAAAAGGAGGGTAAGGAGCCGGGACAGGGGAAACTGGACTCCCAAATGCCTCTTTCTCTTTTGGCTTTCAGTTACCATTTTCTCTTGCCCTGACACTGCCCAACACAAGAAATCAACCACAATTACAGTTTTGCACAGGGCCCCGAACAATGGCAGCTTCCAAAGCCTTGGCACCGCCTGCTCGCTGGGTGCTTACCCACAGAGTCTGTGGGTAGCATGAGCAAAACTCGGCTCCCGAGGCAGGGCGGGGAAGAGGCCTCCCCTGCTTTAAAATTTCACTCTGTTTGTTTCTTTTGTTCAATAGACTGGAAAGACTATGACGACAGAGAGCCCAGACACAGGGGACAGAGTGAAGTTTTGGAAGGTCTGCTGCAGCAGGTCCGAGCCCTTCATCAGCATTATAGTTGCCGGGGTAAGGATAAAAATCTGCACTGGGCCATCGACTGAGGTCTCGGTGGCGCCGGTAATTTTAGCAGTTTCCTAACTGGGTCATACCTTCTCATTCATCAGGGAGAGAGAGATATTAATATTTGTACATCTGGAATCACTTTACAGCACTATCTTGCTTTAACCCTTCAGAAGAGACTTCCCTCGCCTTCCTCCCCTTCCTCTCCTTCTCTCTCACCCTCTGTCTCTGTATGAACCATTTGAAAACAAGCACAAGAAAACTAGCAGCTGCCGTTGGTTCCCTTCCCTTTGACTTGTCCCTTCCCAAAATTCCTCAGTGTGCTGGGTCCTTGGGATATTCACCCTAAAACTTTTCACCCCCAAGGAAAGTTCTGTGAACATCCCTGGGGAAGCTCAACCGATTAGAACAGCCACAATAATATTAAACCTTCGTGTATATTTGTAATAAAGTTTACATGCAGTTTCACATCCAGTATCTCTTTTTTCATCATCTTCATTTTGGCAATTATCACTGAGTGAGGCTAGGTGACTTGACCAAGGTCACAATGCCTGGAAAAGACAGAATCAGGAAACCAACCTACTAGGTTTTCTGTCTCCAAATCTGATCTTTTTGCCATACCTCATTTCTGTCTCCCATCCTTATATCAGGACTGGGCCCTGGACTTTAATCTCACCCTGAACTTTAATCATCCCCTGTACTACTGTGCAAAATTAGAGCACACCTTCTCTAGACCTAGCCAACGACACCCAGAAACCCTTAGAAGCTTCTGAAAGCTACTGAGCTACTTGGGCCGCTCGGATGGGACAGGGTCAGGTTTCGGATCTGTGTAATGATTCGTGGAACAGGCACTTAGTTTTCTTTGGAGAATTCAAGGCTCCATAAAGTTTTCATTTCCCATGCTCCTCCACCCTTCAGATCGCCAGCTGCATTGCAGCCTCTAGATTCAGGGCACTGCTGGACCAGCACGGTAAGCGATCTGTAGTGGAAACGAAGAGATGCTGGCTGAGTTGTGACTTGGTGTAAAAATGTCACACTTAGCTTTAGCAAAAGGTTGTTCCCAATTACTGTATAACGATGACAACAAAGCCCCTTCGGGATTTTCGCTGTAGCTGGAAATGAGGACAAATGTTTGCAAGGAAATAATGTTCTTCTAATGAGTGGTTCATTAGGAGATGTAAATATGCATGGAAGAAGCTTGAAAAGGAAATCCGAGTGGGGTTTGTCATTCCCAGATCACTAGGAAAATTTTACCCAGACCAGGCCCTTCAATATTCCACACTAACCAAGGTGCACTCATCTCTCAGTTATCCAGGGCGCATTCAACCAGACCAGGCATTACCTAGAAGAACATTATTTTTATCATTAATGGGGCATTCTCCATCCTTAGCACTTTACTGATATGTCCCAGAATCAAAGTATAATCATTGACTCCACTGTAATGAGCTTGGAGTACTCAGCACATACACAGCATATTCCAAATGCAGGAGTAATAATAGAGCATCCCTTCTCCTCCCTAAGCCCTACATAGGAGGTACCAAAACCCACATTAATGTTTGCATTTTGGCTACAGCTAATCTGCATGGTCAGTACTGGAAAGGATATTCAATGGAGGTGTTGAGCCACCTTTCTCGTTCATCAAAGGTGAATGCCCTAACATACAGAATGAATTATAAAGAAGCCAGTTGTGTTCACCATAGCAGTAACCGATAGGACTGAATTTCAACTGTTATCTAAATTTTCAACTGGCAAACATTAATTAAAACACTGCCTACCGTGTGTCAGGTGCTAGGCATACCAGTATGAGTAAACTATGCTCCAAGCACTTTAAAAACTAAAAACCTACTACATTCAGGGTCCAGAAAACTAACAATTGACCCAGAGCCCTGAACTAGGACAGAATAAAGACACGGTTCTTAGGATGAATGTAAGTTTAGACCTTGCGTTAGTCAAAGCGGGCTATATCATGCTGCGATAATCAAATGGCTCCAAGCTATCTGTTTCTCCCCGATGCTGTATGTCTACCCCTGGCCAGCTGAGAGCGGCCCTTCTGAGCTGTCATCAGCCTCTTTCCAGAAACATTTGCCAGCACCCACAGGAGAGGGAAAAGAAACTCTTCAAGGCCTCATATGGGGAAGAATTTATATGTCATTTACACTCAGAACTCATTGGCCAAAAGTAGTCACGTGGCCCCACCCAACCACAAAGGTTTCAAGTGCAAATCTACCATGTGCCCCAGGTGGAGGTGACATGGACTATTTAGTATTTGTATGAGCCCCTTTCCCAACTGGTAGTAACATTTCTCATTCTTCCTTTTTGTCTTGCAGTCTAATTTGTTTAATCTTCATTTTTATTTAAGTTATATGTAATTATACTCTGAAGCTAGACTACGTGGGTTCCAATCCGAGCTGGACATTTACTAGCTGTGTGGCCTCAAGCAAGTTGCCTACCTTCCCTCTACCTCACTTTGCTCACCTGTTCAATGCAGATAAGAATTATATATAGCTATCAGCCATTGTTTGAGGGTTGAATGGCTTAAAATAAGTACTTAAAAGGGCTTTATTAGTAGTAAAAAAGCAATTTTTCCCATTCTCCATTTTCTATTCCCCAAATGCTCAATTCTCTCAGCCAATTCTTTGGCTGTTTTCGCCGCACCTCTAAATAACATGTTTATATCGCTAATTCTTTTTTTTTTTCTCAATTGTAGCTATTATCTCACTAAAAAAGATGATGTCTCTCTCTTTTAGACCCCTCCACCCTCTTACCTGCACATACATTTCCTGCCCCCTTATCCTCCTTATTTATATTGTAATTTTACTAAGGTCAATATTTGTTGCTTACATGATAAATGATTATGCAAATTCTATGATTATTTTTCCTTCAGGGATAACTTAATTTTTGTCCTCCCTGTAGTTAATAATCATCTTCTATTGTATTTTCTTATTTTTCTATGTGGTTATTACTAGTGAATCCCCAAGCTATTCTCCAATTGTATCAATTTTCTCTCAACATTAGTGTTGTTTCAACAGCATCTCCTTAAAGAAACCCCTCTGACCTCCTCCAATCTAGACTGGTTCCTGGCTCCCTCCGTGTCTGGGGCACAGCTGTCACCCTAGGATCTCCTTTCACCACTATATTAAGGACTCCTCTTGCCACGCTCCAATATTAGATTTCTTCTTTTTATCCTGTCTTCCTTTTTCTTGGGTTAGGCTCTCATTTTGGGTGGAGCTTTTCTTCTAGTAGCTTCCTGAGAGCATACTTGGGAGCTAAGTTTTGGACACATTGAATGTCTAAAGATGTATTTATTCTGCTAAACATTTATTTAAGTGTTTGAATAAGTATAGAATTCTCAGTTGAAATACTTTTCCTTCAGACTTGAAAGGCATTGCTTCATTGTCTTCTAGCTTTCAGTGCTGGGAAGTCTGATGCCATTCTAATTCCAGAAATTTTATATGAAACCTAGTTCATCCTACTACTTTTGAGGGTTTTAAGTTTTGGGTTTTTCTTTTTATTTCTATATTCTAAAATGTCACTGCTATGTGCCTTCATGTGGTTCTATTTTTGTGTGTTGTGCTGCACACTCGGCAAGCCCTTTCAATATGGAGACATATACCCTTCAATTGTAGGATATTTTCTGAAATATTTCTTTAATTATTTCTATCCCTTCTGTTTCTCTGCTCTCTTATACAAAAACTCTTACGCAGATGAACCTTACAGACTAGCTGTTTTATTTTTTTTATTTTTTTTCCCTCTCCTCCCTTCCACCCCATGTCCTTTTGCTCTATTTTCTTAGAGATTTCCCCAACTTTATTTTCTAGGCTTTCTATTGGGTTTTTCAGGCTGTGATAACATTTTTAATTTTCAGTGCTCTTTTGTTCGCTGAATTTTTCTCTTACAGATTCCTATGTTTTTTTACAAGGACGCAATGTCTTTTCTTGTCTCTGAGACTATTAATGACAGGCTTTGTTTCATGTTATATTTTCTTTTTTCAGCATAGTCTCGTCTCTAAATTGCTCTTTTGTTTCTTTCTTTTTTTTTTCTTTTTGGTCTGTCTTTCTTGTTATATGCGTTTCACAACTGCCTGGTGATCCTTGAATGTCTGCTCGTATTTAAGAGAAGGGAACTCAATAGCTGCTGGGAAGCTCTGATGAGCACATGGACAGGCTCTTTATTTATAGGCTTCACTGTAAGGTGACCTGGCACGGCCTTATCTTCAGGAAAGCAGTGAAGCCAGTGTCAGAATCTCTAAGTGTATCCTCTTAGGCCAGTCAGAATCTCCATAGAACTTTCTTCCAGTGCCCTCCCTGGAGGGCATAAGTGTGAGGACCAGTGTTCCGAGAGTCCAACGGGGAAATACTCTGTATGGAAACTTTCATTTCATCCACCTGTTTTGAGTACATACCACTTCTTCCCCCTCTTTTTAGCTGTACACCATGTCTCCTACTCTAGAGATCTCTGTTGTTATGCTTTTCAGAGAATAAGCCACCAGCTCTCTTCGGGAAAAGGGTATCTGTCCACCTATGCAGGGTATGGGAGGATATCTAGAAGTCTAACTACTTTTCAAACAGACTCCAACACACCCCCCTCATTTAGCTCCACATTCACCCCCCCCCACTTCCAGCAGTATATGGAGCCCATGGGGTGACTCCGGTTACCTCTCAGCTTTCTCCACTGCTGGCTTAGGATTCATCTTTCTCAAGTCTGCTAAATCCATCTGTCCATTTGCTTTCCAGCTACCAAAATTCACTTGCTTTTGTCTCCTTTCCCACCTCTTTGTCTTTATAGATTTTTCAAAAATCTCTTTAGCGAGGTTTTGGGAAATGGTGATAAGTAATGAATATGCTCACTATGCTGCCTTTAGCCAGAAGTCCCAGCAGCATCATTTTCAAGCAGGACATGACCCGCCAGATTCATGTTCAAGTCAGAAAGAAATGCTTTTCCTTTGTCCAGCCAGGAATGACTATTATCGGCACAGGCTGGAAGCTGGCACGGATGCTTGTGTCAGCCAACTCATTCCCTACTGCTCCTATAGGATCATGGGCAGAGCCACAGTGGGCCTTAGCCTTGGGCCATCGCCCAGGATCCCATGCCCAACAGCACCAATATGGGCCATGTTCTCATCCCCAGTGACATGTCTGTCACGAGTTTGTGATGGCCCCAACAACCTCAGCTTCTCTTCATTGCATGCAAGATGACAGTTGAAATCATTGATGGTCTAGTTCAGTTCCCTGGAGCACCATTTGCAAAGACTGTTACAGGAAGTCTACTCCTTTCATCCAGGAGAGCTCCAGGTTGTAACCAGAAGAGCCGAACAGGTGCAATGGATGATTTTCTCACCACTGTAACCATGGAATCTTGCACATAGTAGGGTCCCAATAAATACGTACTCGGAGAATGAGTGTGGCAGTTTTTCCGGGTACTGGCTTTTTGAAATCTTAGACGATCCACTTAACCTTTCTGTCTCAGTTTCTTCTCCTGTATAATAAGGATGGGAGTGTAGTCCTACCTATGCCTACAGCTGTTTTTCTAAGCCAGCGTACGCACTGGAAAAAACTTCCCCAGGATGCTCGCTGTGGTTGTGCTGAAGAGGGAGGATGATATGGGTGGAGCTTTCTTCTTTTTTTTTCTGTTCTCCAGATTTCCTGTACTGTGCTTCTGTTAATTTTGTAATGAAAAAATGTAATGGAATATGTAGACTAACAAGAAGAGCTTTGTCAGCGTGAAGAAATATGTGACTATTAAACAGCAGTGGGGAAAAAGGGGACAAGGGCAAAAGAGTTGACACCGTTCCTTTTCATCCCATCTTATAATGAATCACTGATACAGACAGGATAAACAAAACACCTAAGTGGTTTCCCCTGGAGTTATAAATGTTACTTATCTCCCACGTTTTTGAGGAGCTGTTCATTATTAAGTTAACCACTGGCATGTCAAGACACAAAAGCTTCTTATAGGAATGAATGAGCTGAATCCCTACATGAAACTGAGGGTCAGTGATACTAAAGGAACAGGGGAGAGGAAGGCAGGAAGGTGGGAAGAAGGTTCCTGAGGTGTTGTTCTGCCAGTGGAATTGACACTGGATTTTTTTGTTGTTTTTTTTCTGTGTTCCAGAAAGTTCAAAATTACAAACCACAGGCCGCAAGCAGTCCGTGTCAAGGAGCCTGAAACACCTATTCCATTCCTCAAACAAGTTTGTGAAGACCTTGAAACGGTGGGTCCGATGGAGCTTTTCCAGGAAGTCTTAACTTCTTAGGAGTCAGCTGATTTGGGTTCTGAGTGGAAACTTGCTAGAAATTTCTTTTTTTGTTATTTAAAAAATATGAAGTTTGTACCTCTTATTCCCCTTCACCATTTTCACCCATCCCTCCACCCTCCACCCCTGTGGCAACCATCAGTTTGATCTATTTCTGTGAGCCAGTTGATGTCTTGTTTTTTAGACTCCACATGTAAGTGACATCATACAGTATTTGTCTTTCTCTATCTGACTTATTTCACTTAGCATAGTACCTCCTAGGTCCATCCATGTTGTCGCAAATGGCAAGATTTCACTGTTTTCTTTTTTTTATGGCTGAGTAATAGTACAGCATAGGGAATATAATCAATAGTATTGTAATAACTTTGTACAGTAACATGTTTACTAGATTTATTGTGGTGATCACTTCATAAATTGCATAAATGTTGAATCATTATGTTATACACCTGAAACGCATATAATATTATATGCTAACTATACTTTCATTTAAATTTTTAAATAAATAAATATATATCACATTTTTTAAAATATGAAGTTCACTTTTCTCCTGAGAATTTGGGCAAGATAGTAATTTCTTTGCATTCTAGTGCATGAACTTTTCATACTTAGAAAGAATAGGCTCATAAGTATATTTTAAATTATCTTTTTCATGTCCAAAAATATATTTTTTTCCCATGATTCAGGTGTGATAGAGGAAGATGATTGAGGACAATTTTTATTTTGCTTTTTCTTTTTAGGGGACTCTACATAGCTGTTATATTTTATTACAAAGACAACATGTTAGTCACCAATGAAGATCAAATCCCGATTGTTGAAATAGATGACTCTCACACCACTTCCATTACACAAGATTTTCTGTGGTTCACAAAGGTAAACTGAGTTCTGATTTCATTTTCCCCCACTTTGCACCAGTGTTACTCCACATAAATCTCTGCAACCTTAGTTGAGGGGTCTCCAGCGATCAAAGTATTGGGGTGGGAGTAAATGATCTCAAAGGTCTCTTTCAGCCCTGAGATGCCCTATGTCATGCAAAATGCCAAAACAGCGTCTACACTACATTTTCAAAGCAAAGAAGCTTGCATCCTGTCAGATTGTGTCTCCACGGTTCTGAGTTATGGGATCATTTGGCAAGGACTAAAATGTGGATCTGACTGTTTCATTAACATTCAGATCCTTTTCCAATTGGACAGAGATCAAAAAGTTGTTTCGCGTGTATCTGAAAATGGACTGGAGAACAAACATCAGGGGTCAAATTTCCTTCTCCCTGCTGTGCTTTGATGCCACAACCTAAATCATGTACTGGCTTGGACAATGATATGACCTCGTGACTTCTCTTGCAGCTGTCTTGTATGTGGGAAGATATAAGGTGGTTGAGGCAAAGCATACCTATCTCCATGTCCTCATCCACAGTACTGCAGACACGGCAGAAGATGCTCGCGGCAACAGCCCAGCTCCAGGTGAGGGGCCAGGTTTCAATTCAGACCTCCACAGGCATTTGAGAATAACGTAGTCAGTGCAGTTCCATTCTCACCTGGAAAGGAAAGGGTAGGCTCCTTCCTCTTTCAGATCCCTAGGCACATGAAGGCTTCTCAGAGTTTGAGCTGTATACCTGCATATGAAGGAACCTGTGCCTTTAGCTGTCTCCTGGAGGGAGCAGGGGTCTCTCTTGAAGAGTCTAGGAGTGACCCCCTAAACCAGGAATGAGGAGATGTGAGTTCTGGATTTGATATTAAGAAGTCAACTCATTTCTGCTTTCTGGGTCTTAGTTTCATCACTTGCAAAATAAGAGTTAGACTAGATCACTTGAAGAACCCTTGCTTCTCAGGCATCTTGTGCATTTATGAGTGTATGGAGATGGAGAAAGACCCGCAGATATTCTGAGGTAGTTCTTGGCTTGATGTTTTTGATAAAGCATAGGCATTTGCTTACTTAAACCAAAACAAAAACCTCTTAAAAGTTTACCTTTAATCCTGAATTTATTCATTCTTCCACACTATTAACCCATTCAGATCAGGTCTCTAATCCATTACTACAAGAATCTCTGTAGGTTACATCCTAGAAATGACACTGAATTCTAACCAAGCTTTTCTGGGTTTTCCCTCTCATTGTTTTCTGGTATTCCCTGAATTTGTGGTTCTTAGCACAGAAAAACATCTGCTACATGGCAATGGAGTCTTTAAGAGCTCTTTGAGGCTTTCACAGTAATCAGTATCTACCTACAAAGCTATATGCATAACAGGAATCTATGTAAGCTGTGTTTGGCCGGGCAATTCTAGCCAAAGCATAAAAACAAAACAAAACAAAACAAAAAAGTATTTCTACAGCTCCACCTCCACCTGCAATTACAGGAACTTCATTTCTTGACCCACATAGTAATAATTTGACTTCCTGCAATACTAATAATTATTGTGGTGCTAGTATCATTAATTCGGAAAAGTAACTCTTACCCCTTCTATGCTATATACTTCATTCCATAAGCATTTTACTACCTTGTGTCCTCAGTAGCCTCAGCTATTTTAGCAAACTGCTCTCCATTTCAGCTCACTCTTGATTGAGGAATCTTCTCCTTCAACTCAAGAAAAAGTTCTTGGAGCTGGGCCATGATGGCTGTGCTGAATGCAAAGGGACCCTTCCTTTCACCACTGACCAGCTTGAGTTGGATCAATCCACTGTACCTCCACGAGGATAGTGTCGTTTCCCAGGAGGCTCATATCCCTGCTGGACTCTCCCGATAGCCCACTATCCAGCCCAGACACTCCTGGATCACAGACTGAACCGCCTTAGGATTTCAAATGGGGCTCTTGATTGTATGTTTCTTGGAGGCTTCCTAGAACAATTTCAGCTGACATCAGTAACCCAAGAAGGATCAGGCTGTCACAAGCCAGTGCAGTTAGATGCTCAGGGGCTAGAAGGAAGCCATGATGGTCAGTGTTCCCAATTCAACCACTCCCATTGCAGTAGCTCTTGGATTTCCTTGCCCCTCCCAGTGTATTGGCCCCACCATTTTTCATAATGCATCAGCCCCCTTCTGAGGTAATTTCCCTCCTTGTCTAGCTTAGATTTCTTGGCCCATCATAATCACTCCCTTGAAAATATTTTAAATTTCTGGCCACTGTTTCCCTCCATATTAATTTGGAAAAATCCCAAGCCTGGATGAATCCAGCATGTCTACACCGGAGGAGTTGCACATTGCTGTAGCGAAGTCACAAAAAAGGGGGGTTTTACTGGTTTTTATGTTAAATTCATTACTATAATTCCCATATGTAATGTTACCTAGTGATCACATTCCGTTTCTCTACTAAAGTCACATTCCCAAATTACAAGGCAACTATTTAAAACCTTCTCCGTTCTCCCGTATCCCTTCCCCTCCCCTCCGTGCTCCACCCTCACGTCAGGTGATGACTTCACTGTGTAAGTCATTAAGATAATAAATGGGAATTAATTCTTTTTCCATCACCAACTTTAAAAGCCTCTTGCATTGACCCCACTTTCTCTTTCTTCCCTCCTCTTCCAACAGATACAGTCTCACTCCTCCCGCCACATGTGCTCTGGGTCCCCAGCTTTTCCCTCCCATCTTATCTAAACATCCTCAAGTATCTTCAGTTTAACGTCCCCTCAAATCCCTTCAACCCACATGCCCCTTCCGTTCCCTAACGCTCTGTCTTCTCTTCCTTAGACCCAGACTGCTTGAAAGTGTTGCCTCCATTCTCCGTCTCCATTTACTCGATCACTTACCATTCAGTTCTCAGCCTTCTCCCTGACTTTTGCTACCACCATGCCGACCAAACTGCCCTCTCAGGCCACCAGTATTAGAGGCAGATGATCCTCTTCATCTTCATCTTCAGGGCCCCTCACTTACACGAGCCCCTGTGAGTGTGTGTGTGGGGCGGTCACAGAGTGCTTTAGGTGGGGAGGAGTTGAGATGCAACCAGGGAGCATTTCTGGTAAACTGCCTAAAGAAATCTCAGGGGCAAGGGGACCGGAAATTCCAAATACTCCAGTATTTGGGGAGATTTTCCTTTCTCCTTCTAACTAAATATTCATGTTTACATGTAATTTTTATATTTGTACTTTTGTAGACTTTGTCTTATAGAGAGCCCCAAAATTACATGGTGCAGACCCCTACACAACCTGGATCTATCCCACCAATGTAATTTCCAGATTTGTCCAACTTCCTGGCCTGTCTTTCTCAGCCTCCTTTGCTAGCTCCCTTGCTGTTTCCTCTGCTTAGAATCCCCTTCTTCTAATCTCTTTGCCTTGCTAATTCCTACCTGTCCTTCAGACCTCAGTTTAAATTTTACACTTCCTCAGGGAGCCCTCCTCTGATCTCCTGATGAAGCTATCACTCTCACAGCACCTTGTATTCTTCATTCAGAACAGTGATCATAATCCCATTAGTTAATTTGTATTCTTATTTGGGTTAGTGACTCCCTTGGACTGTGAGTCCCTGAACTCATGGAACGTATCTATTTTGATCACTGCTTCCTCCTCCATGGGTGGCATGTGGCAGACCCTCAGGGAGTACTGGTTGCATAAATAAATTTGTCAATCGAACCCCTGTACCCAAAAGATCACACTTGAGGATACCCCCATCTAACCAAAGGGGAAAAGGACCACAGAAATGTGCCTCATACTATACTTACCACCTGAATAGTTCTCCAGCCCTGCACGGTGACCAGCACTTCTGCATACTCAGTACCTCTGAGTACTCGGTAGCTAGCCTTTATGTGTCTATCCAAAGCCAGAGCACTGTTGTGAAGTCCCTTCCTTCCTTCACGTTTCTGCCTGCCTGCCTAAATAATAGGAGTCATTTCCAGCTTTTTTGTAGGACATACTGCCTAAACTATTTGCTGATTTTCAGAATGAAAATGTCTGGAAATACTGAAATCACATTTTGTGAGTGTGTGTGAGGTGGGGGGCGGGGAGCGGGGGGGGGGCAGTGACAAGGCCCAGAAAAACCTTTCAGAAGAGGGAGAAAAATAAATTGGGGGAAATTGATGCTCACTTAATATTTTAGGTCTGTTGATTACTAACCTAACGTTTTCTACAATGTTAGATTAAAGGAACGTAAAAATGCATTCTTAACTAGCTAGATTGGCATCCGCCATCTGTCAATTCTGCTGATTGACCTCTGGTATATCTCATGTTACTCTGCTCCCCTTTCCAGCTCACGACCACCGCCCAGTTACTCCAGTTACATCAAAAGCCTCCAAAGTCGTCCTCCTGCTTCCAGTCTTAATACTCTCCAATCCGTTCTCCCCACTTCTGCCAGAGGAGCCGATAAAAGATTCGGACCGTGTCATTCCCTCTTCATACTCTTTCAAGAGTGGCCCATTCTATCATGGCAAACCAAGGCCTTCATCCCCATCTGTCCTCCCCTTCCTGTTTCCATAGCACCCTGACTTACCTTGGTCACAGTGCATACCAACCACTGTGCATCCTGTACCTTATTTTCCAGGTTCTGCTCTATAACAAGGCCCTTTAATACCTAACAGTAAATAATAATTGTGAAACGACTTTCATTTATTTAACAGAATAGGTGCCAGGCACGGTGTTAAGTGCTTTACAAACTATATCTCCTTTAATCTTCACCACACTCTGATGAGAAAGTACTAGTATTGATATTAATGTAACAGATGATAAAGCTGAGGGCTAGAAAAGTTAAATAACTTGCCCAAGGTCACACAGATAGGAAGTAGCGGAGTCTGGATACAAATCCAAATCTGTATAATTCCAAAGCCTGCATTCTTCCCAATAGTTCATCATCTCATTGTGTGTTCATTTATAAAAGCAGACAAAAATTTTTCATAGAAGAGAAAAAGTAGAATTCTATTCTGCATCATTTGGAGCTTATGTAGAAGTGGCCTTACGTTTTATTTGAAAGAAAGTGAAGTATGGATTCATTAATTGATGAATATGATTAGTATTACTTAGGCAAGAGAAAGTATGTTAGCATATGGATTAAAAATTTTTTAAAGGATGAAAAAGCCTGTAAGTGGCCAAGACCCCACATTGTTTTTCCTACTCTTAGGGAAATGACAGAGGCCCCAAGAGGCAGCGGTATACATTGCTCTTACATTAAGACGTGTCCAAACTACTTATTCTCAAAATACGGTAATAATCTGACACTGTAGATTGGGTTACATTAAACTTTCCTCCTCCATAGCTTTTAGAAATGAGTGTTAGTGAGTAAAAATCCAGGTAATGATTTATGAATACTATATCTTTTTCATTTTTCAAAGGGGTGTATGTGTGTGTGGTGGGGGGGTTCCCAAAATTTTTACTCTTCTTTTCCAAGCCTTTGTATCTCTACTCTGGACCTCCTTCAACTTCCCATGTTACCCCAAATTAACTGAAGGTCTCTATTGTGCATCTGTCTAGGGCTTATTGACAGTCCTGTGCTTTGTGCGGGTTATAGCCTAGATGTATTCCTGTGAGCTGTCAGACGGCTTTTATTCCTCTTTACCTTGTAGGTTCCCAATCTCCCAACCTTGACTGCATAGCATGACAGGTATTAACATGGTACATTTTTCCCTTAAGCTCTAAAGAACCTCAAATTTCCCCCTTGAAACATAGTTGCAATTTATTTTCACTAGGATATTCTGCTCTTAAATTGGGTGCTCCCCAGCTTGGGTTGGGTGCTCCAACCCAATTTGATGTCAATAAAGAATTTCAGGAAGACTTCTAAGTGCTTACTTCTTCAGCACATTAGTCATCCTATCCAAAGCTAACAGTGAACCATTTTATTTAAAACGATCACCTCATTCAGTGTCTACCCACCAGCTTTCGTCCAAAGTAAATCATATTTTCCAGTGTCCTAATGATAATATGTAAATCCAGCCAACAGAAAAATTATTGAGCCCTTACTATGTGCCAGGCAGTGTGCAAGGAACCCAGAGACACGGAGACAAAACCACTATGATCTCATGACATGTACATCATTATGCAAGAAGGCCAGAGTCATGCTAAGATGCAGATTTGTACAGGAAGCAATGGGGGACAAAAGAGAACATGGTCAATTCCACCTGAGAGAGTTGGGAAAAGTCCTCCCAGAGAAGGTGAAACCTGGGCTGAGTCTTGAGAATGAGTAAGTGTAAGCCAGGGTGGGATTCCAATTAGAGCAGGAAAGAAGGCTCATACCCTACTTGTATCAAACTTAAGAGTTTACAAAATACTTTCTCATGCATTGCTCGACTTAATCCCCCAAACGCTCTATAAGGTGAGGATTAGAATAAGGGATATCTGATCTGTAAGGACCCTTAATTTTAGATGACGAAATTCTGGGCCAAAGAGAGTAAATAATTTTTCAGAATTCTAAGAGTTAATGAACAGCAGCCAGCCCTGACATTCAACACCAGTATAACTAAGGCTTAACAGCAGTGGTATGCTTGCTGGAGCCAACTGGCTCAGGAGAGCTAACTGTTAAGTATTCAGGAATTTTGAAAGCCTATTGTCAAACTCTTAGTAGCTTGAAATCAGCCTGTGATGGGAGTATTTACACCACAGAAATTGGCATATGCTATAAATCAGCCCTCCCTCCCTTTTGATAGCCAGTTTATCGGCATGGCACTGCTATTGGCCAGTATTACTTTGCAGCAAACTGCTTTATGGAAAACTGTAGTACTGCAGAGGGCTGGATTAAAAGCTTTACCCAATTGCGTCTCTATGATTTAGAAGTCAGTTATTGGAGAGGAATAATCTGACTGCGTGATCAGACCATTTTTTAAAACAGTAATCCTGCCAAATGAATTTTTACATGTCAATTACTTATGAAATTTTTTTCCTTATGTGTCCTGTCCTTGTGAATTAAAAAATAAAAATAAAATAAGATTTAAGACACAATCCCTCCCTGTGAGGGAACATTCCAGTGTTTTCGTGGATGTGGACACTGTGGCTCATTCATTGTTAGGTCATCCTTGTTTTGTTTACAAATTCCAGGCCTACTGTTGCTCTCCTGCTAACAGGTTATCTCATCAGCATTTGTGTCAGCTCACAAAAATCACAGCTAGAAGCTCTGAGGTAATTTATAATTTAAAAAAACAAACGTAGATATTCCAAGTAAAAGGGTACTTTATCCTGTTCATCCAGTGCTCTAGGTGCTCTTCAATCCCTCATATTGGTGAAATTGTTTATGTTAATAGCACCTACCAGGGCCCCTCCACATGTAATGTGGCAGCCCTCCCGTCCCGCCTTTCTAAAAGTATTGTCTGCCTCAGTTGACCTAGCTTACAATTTTAACAGAGTTTTTTAAAAAATAGAACCCCTTGAAATGCAGATAAGTCAAACCAGGCCAATCTCCCAATTAAAGTATCTTGAAGGGAATGTGCACTCATTTGGGGACCTGTACAATGTGCTACATTGTCAATTCACTTCTTCATTTTAAACAACCCCACTTCATACCAAGCTTACTGTAGATCTCTTGAAACTCCACAAGTAGCATACTTGAAATATCAGGCATTTTTCTTTAAAACATCTGGGATTCTCTTCAAGTGCTGGTAACTGAGGTTTATGTGCTGGTGTGTCTATGTGGGTGAGAGATATTTACAGATATTGAATTTGCTTAAAAAAACATAATTTTTGTGCCTCTTGCTATGATCTTTGCAGGCTTATGGTGAAGGCATTTTCTTTGAGCTTCTGTTAAGTACATTTCTATCGTGCCACATATTCTAGGTTTAAGCCTGCTTAAAAAAAGAAAGAAAGAAAGAAAACTTCTCAGGAACATCAAATAATTATTCACAGTGTCTTTTGTTGCAGTTGTGTTGCTTTGTTTGCACATCAGCTAAGTTACCAGGAATCTATTTGTTTCTAGAATTTACTTGGAACGCACAACTTGGGCAGAATTTACTATGAGCCCATTAAAGACCGGCATGGAAATATCCTGATCGTCACCATCAGGGAGGTGGAGATGCTCTATTCCTTTTTTAATGGCAAATGGATGCAGATCTCAAAGCTGCAAAGCCAGAGGAAGTCCCTGTCAACACCTGAGGAGCCAACAGCCTTAGACATTTTACTGATAACCATCCAGGTATGTAGGCCTTTCAATTTCCTAGTATATTTAAAGTTCTAAACACACTTATTGAAGCTCTAGTGAAATATAACAAGAGCCATTTCCATATGGAGGGATGGAGTGGAGAGGGTTCAAAATGTGTCATTGTGTGTATTCCACACATAGGAAAAATCCAGAAGCTTGTTTTTATTTATCACTCTCCAGATCTGGAATTCATCAAACAATGCAAATAGTGGGCACCTTGAAAATGCTCCTGACCAGTGAGTCAATGAGAAACATTGAGAGAATCCTTTGAGTAGGGATCTAGAGATAATATAATCAAAACATTAAACCAATCCCTGAATAGATTGCAATAATAATACGTTTCTAGACTGTGTGTGTGTGTGTGTATATCACTTTGAACAAAAACACTTATACATATTTCCTATATCTCTTGCTTATTTCCTACAATACTCCCTCGAGACAGAAAGAGGTGATTAAATCCATTTTAGGACTCAAATAACCGAGGCTCAGAGAGATTATGTGACATACGGCAACACACGTGAGCAGACTCAGTGAAGTTAGTGAAGCTTCAGCATCATTCAGCTCTTCACTTGCACGAGCCCCTTCCAAGGCCCTGGCAGGGACCCTAACAGTTTTACATTCATAATTTTGTATTAGCTTCAGGTGCCACCAAACGTGGGTTTGCCACTGAGCACACAGCTAGAAAACAGCAGAGCTGAACCTTGAACTCAGATCTTCTGACTGGAAGCAAGCTTCTTTCTGCTACATTACATCATATTCTGGGGCAGGAGTTAGGATTTATGTTAGTGTAGGATGGCAGATAAAAGATGAAAGACTCACCTGATCCCCAGATAACCACCGAAATTCAAAATTCAGGCAGCTTAGATCCCCAGGCGCTTGACCTGCATGGCAGAACCGGGGTACAGCCCCACATCTGCCGCTGCGTCCAGCATTCTCTCCGTGCCACCACACGGCCTCACCTGTTCTTGTGTGAACATGGCCTTCAAGCTACTTCTTTGTCTTGCTTTTCTTTCTTTTTTAAGCCCAGTGATGGGGATGAGTTCTATAGAACTGTCCAGTTAGGCGGCAAAGCTGGGAGAAACACCTACCTTGAGCCCTGTGCAACCAATGGCACATATCCACAAGCCAGCCAACCCAAGTGCTCGTCAGTAGACAATTGGATAAAGAAGCCGTGGTACATATATACAATGGAATATTACTCGGCCATAAAAAAAGAATGAAATCTTGCCATTTGCGACAACGTGGATGGGCCTGGAGAGTATTGTGCTGAGTGAAATAAGTCAAACTGAGAAAGACAAATACCATATGATCTCACTTACATGGGGAGTCTAAAGAACAAAATAAATGAATAAACAAAATAGGAAGATTCAAAAATACAGAGAGCAAACTGATGGTTGCCAGGGGAGAGAGGGTTGGGGAGCTGGGTAAAAAAGGGGAAGGGATTAAGAAATACAAATCAATAGTTTTTAAAAACAAGAAAAGACAGCCAATCTGGAGTAACAGGAAAGAAAAGACTCAATCCCACACGAACAAACCAAATCCACACCTTGGCCCAGTAGCCCCCCATGATCACCCTAAACAGCTAAGCCACTGACTTATTGACTGAGGGGTGGCTAGTACAATAATCTCACCTTTCCATGAGTCGCTTCAGTCCAAACCAGGACAAAGTCCAATGCAGCAAAGGTAAGCTAATTGGTCAAAGCCTCTGGATTTGATTTTATGGAATTGGAGTTCATATGAAATTGATAGAGTGTGCGTGTGTGTGTGCGTGTGTGTGCGTGCGTGTGCGTGTGTGTGTGTGTAGGTGGGGGCAGGGAACACAGACACATTCGTGACTCCCCTCTTCACCTTTTATAAGCAAGTGCTAAAAGAAACATTTAAAAAATCATAATAAATTGAGCTTTTACAGGGTGACTAATACACTAATCCCCTATAGGGATAAACTGGGGTCTGGCCTACCTTCCCTCCTAGAAACACAGCACAGGCCCCAGCATGATATAATACCTGGTTTCTCCTAGACTTATTACATTAAAAATGTGTTACAGGTGCAGAAAAATTCCAATCTGGCAAAAGGTTGTTAGAAAAGGAGACCAAAAATAGAGGCAAGATCAGGTTTCCACACAGATCCAAGTGGAAAATTTACCCCCGCTGACTGGCACATTCCTGCTTGATGTCATTCCCACCCACCCCCACTCTCCTTTCTCCTCCGCCTCCTTTTTCGCTCTCCCCGCCTTCCCTTAGAGGTCTTACAGTGGAGAGGAAATTGGGGGTAAAACTACTAGGGCTGGTATCCAATCACTCCTAGGCTTAAGATTAAATCTGTCAAGAGTCGGTCCCACCAACTCAACGTGACAGTAGAGCTAGGTCTTGGTGGTTGCCCAAAGCGAGCTGGGTAATCCCCACAATTCCAGGCCACAAACCACTCTCCTTTCTCAGGGTCAATAGACCGATGACCACCAGGTCTTTCGATTGGGAGCCTTGGCTTCTTTCTGCAGCACCACTTTAGAATCAGGCTGACCGGGTATGATTCCTGACCCCACTTTTCCTACTTTTGGGACTAGGGCAAGTTACTTAATTTCTCACTTCTCAGAGTTCCTACTCTGCAAAACACCCTCCTTCCTAGAATTCTAATGAAGATTACATGAGTTAAAAATGAAACAGCAGGTGGATGCTCAATAAATGTTAGTAGTTCTTATTCTCTTTCTACTCAGGAAAATCCAAGCAATGCTAGGCTGTCCTCAGGACACAACCAGTTCATCCCTACTCTCCCAAGGGACCCCAGGTACTGACTCAGTCATCTCTTGGGGCATTTCATCCTTTCCTTTACCTTTTCATAAGAATTAAGAAGTTATATAAAGACTATATGATCCACAGTGGGGTTTTCAAAACAGATAAGGGTTTTAAGAAAATCTGGGCCCATAACTAATCTCCTAATCCCTAGTGCCCAAGGGAAACTCCAGGATCTAACGCTCTCAAATTCCTGAACCTTCATAGCAGACCTCTGTTACGTATCTGGAAGAGAGAGAGAAAAACCCTTCCCACACGTGCCTGGAAAGGAAAAGAGAGTTATTATGGACAAGTTCATGTCCCTCTGAGCAAATAATTGGCAATGAGAGTCTTTCCAATAGGGAGGCCCCTCTCAGGTGCTGAGTTACTCTGACCTTGATCTTCAGGGGCTACCTCAATAACTGGAAGCCTCACAGGTGAAGTTTTTTCTGAAGATGAATCTCTTACATTTGTACTGTGCTTTCAAGTTTATAACACTTGGTCACATCAATGATATCATTTGATCCTCACAAAAACCCAGTGATGTTGAGTGGGTAATTTTATTGTGTTCAATTCATAGAAGAAGCTATGGATTTCAGGAAAAGAACACACTAAGGTCATATTAGCCTTAAAAAGCAGCAGAGGAGAGGCTAGGACCAGCCTGCTGACTCCTCGCCTGGTGCCCTCCCATTCTGCCTGCCGTACACACCCTCCTCCTCCTTTGCTCTGGAGCCTTTCTTAAAAGTATGATCCTAGAGGAGCTGCAGCGAAGCTTGTCTTCTATCTCTTCCCATCTATGTTTTCCTTCTCCTCTCCTTAGGCATCCCTTTTCACCTCCAGGGACCCAGTATCATCTTCTGACACCTGAGCTGCCTAGGATATACTACCTCGTCCGCCTTTTTCTGTTGTTTTCTAGCACTTTCTGGTTCCTTCCACCTCCAAGCAGCCTCTAACATGGGGATCAAAAGCTACTGGAATCAGGAAGGCTCGTGGAAAAGAGCCAAGTGGGCTAGATATAAGAAAAAATTGGTTTCACACTAAACTTGTTCCCTGATGTTCACAGCAGAATTAATCCTAGTAGCCAAAGAGTGGAAACACCCACGTGTACAACAACTAATGAATGGATGAACAAAAGTAGTGTGTCCATATAATGGAATATTACTCAGCCCTGAAAATGAAATCCACATCCATGCTACAGTAGGAAGGAACCTTGAAAATATTATATGAAGTGAAAGGAGCCAGACACAAAAGGCCCCCTATTGTATGATTCCATTTATATGAAATGCCCAGAATAGGCAAATCCATAGCGACAGAAAGTAGATGAGTGGCTCGAGGGACGGGTGGAGGAGGGATTGGGAATGACAACCAATGAACATGAGGTTTTCTTTTGGGGTTTTGGGGTGATGAAAATGTCCTGGAATTAAATAGTGTTGATAGTTGCACAACATTGTGAATCTAGAAAATACATTCAAAGGGTGAATCTGAGGGTATGTGAATTCTCTCTCAGTTGAGTACAGTAGAAATAGAGACTACAGTGCTGTGGAGATCCCTTGTCTCATCCGAAGAGCAGCCCTCACCAGCCTCAGCTAGTTACGGTGGAACAAGTGGTCCCAATGCTGAAACCGTTTCCTTTTTTTTTTTTTTAAGTTGAAAGTTCAGAGTTTTGGATAAAATCTCTTTATTTTTAAAAGGTAAAAAAATAATTCAGAAAGTTTTAAATTCTTTGCAGTCCATATGATCTTGGGCTGGCCCACAAAGACCACCAGCCACCATTTTATGACCTCTGCTGTCCCTGGACAATTCGGCTTCCATGCCCATCCAACAAAACAAAAGCTCTGTAGTTGCTGGAAAAGCAACTCTGTATCAGTCTCCTCACCAAGACTTAGGATACCTGATCAGTGGAGAGCGGCTGGATACACCCTTCCTAGTTCCAGCACCAGCACAGCACATTCTGTCTCAGAGGCCCAGCCCCAGACCCCACTACCTCTGGGCCTCACCCTTCATATTTAATAAACATTTTTTTCAGTACCAGCTAGGTGCCAGGAACTCTTCTGGGTGCTATAGGAAAAACAAATGAATAAGTCAAGGTCCCTGGTCTCAAGGAGTTCAGTCAAGGGAGGGAGACAGACTTGTAAACAAATCAAGGGAATACAAGGCAGGATTAAACCAGAGCCTGATAGCAGCACAAACAGCGTACTATGGAAACACAGACAAAGCAGCCATTAATTCTACCTGGAAATGTCAGGGAAGGTGTTGTAGAAGAGGTGACATTTAGCTGAGCCATGAAGGGTAAGTTGGGTTCACCAGATAGAGAAAAAAGAGAGAGAAAGGATGGGGGAGGGAAAGATGGAAGGAGGAAGGGAAAGGAGAGGGAGGGGGGAGGAAGGGAGGGAGGGGGGAGGAAGGAAGGAAAGAAGGAAGGAAGGAAGGAAAGATGGAAGGAAGGAAGGAAGGAAGGAAAGATGGAAGGAAGGAAGGAAGGAGTGAGTTACAGAACTAAATAGCAGGTATGATAAATAAGGCAGAAGCTAGAGCAGTAGAATAGATCTCACCCTCCCTTGAGTCCACAACAGACTTTACACATTTGTCTTATGGCCTTTATCCTACTGGGTTAGAAAAACTTGCTTACATGTCTCTCTCACATACTGAAATGTGAGTTCCATGAAGGAAAGGATCATGTCTTATCTTGATGTCATTAATATCCTAATTCAGTGCCTGATACATATATATGGTAGGTGCTCAATAACAAGTTGGTAGAATGAGTGAATTCATGAACCAGCAAAAAATCAGAAAGATTAGGGCATGTATGGCGAGTGAAAAGAGATCTATTTTGGCTAGAGATAAGAGATGCAAAAGGACTATAGTGGAAGTAGAGGATAGCAGTGTGGGTTAGAGGTCAAATCAGGCAAGATGTAGACTCTCATAGGCATCTGATTTGGTTTAGGCCTTTCTAGTATACCTCAGATTATGTGAATGGGACAACTTCTTTCTCTTCCGGTGCCTTTCTCAGGCTCCAAAACATTCTGACTAATGAAGGATAAAATGTAAAGACAGGAAAACACATAGTAGATGCTCAGTAATAGTCCTTTAGAAAAAACTGAATGAAAGAGTGAATTACTCCATCCCAGAATGGTGCTGGTTTTTATATAACCACAGTATGTTCCCAGCTCACATTCTATTCGTGGTGAGTTCTGACCCCCACATGTTTTTTCTCTTATACTCATCCCCATCCTATATTTGTACTTGGGTTTGAGTCTTTACAAGCACATTTTCTTATTAAGTTTCAACCCTAATTATGATAGGCTTATTTTTCCAATGCATAAGGTCATTCAGAGCTTTATTTTACTTTCCAGAAAAATCAAAACCACACCAAATTTGGGACCCACAAATTCGATACACACATTCTTCATTTCTTTGTCTGGAATATCAATAAATAAGCTGAAAAGACTGGCCCTCGGGACCAGTCCCTACTGGGCCATCACTCAATACGTCTACTATTCCCACACCATCTCCATCATTCACAAATCTTCAACCCAGGTATTCGGCTTATTAAAGTAATATGGTAAAGAGTCTCCTAGTCCCAGATTATCTAGTGAGACAGATTACACTGGAGACTTCTCCTTGGTCTGTGGATCCTGTTATTTTGCTGTTAGACATTAAAATTGTCTGTAGGATTTGCCCTTCCCAAAACGGTGCTGACTCCCATTTTAGTGTCTCGGGATTTCCCGAGTGACTGCAAATTGATTGTTTGATGGTTCTTTCTCATTTTTCCAAAAGATCAATAAGTTGGCGGTCTTTAATTACTAGGGTCATCCTGTGTTTCGCCCCTTCCTGTTTCAAAGATCGGCATATTTGCCCTTTTCTAGTCTTCAGGGACTGTCTAGTTCTCCATCACTACTCAAGAATAATGACCTGTGGGTTTGTGGCCACATCTGCTTGTACAGCAAGTACCCCTAGGGTGCATATCATCAAATTCTACTGATCTGAATACTTCAAAAACTATTGGAATCAGGAAGACTACTGGAAACGAGCCAAGTGGTTTTTCTCCTCTCATTAACCGTTTCTCTCTCTTTGATTACCTGTTCATGTCTCCACATTTCACCTTGACTGAACTTCCTCATTCAACTACTTACCTGTGATCTTTTCTGAGGAGACAGGATAGAAGACATTAAAAATTAAGCCTTGTCGACCTTCTGATTTTAGTAAGAATTCCTTCCATCTTGATCATGTAATCAAATTTTTTCTAGTCTATTTTTTTGCCAAGTATCTTCAAAGTGACTTAGCCTTCGCTCTTCTGTACATGCTAGTTATGTCGTCCTCCCAGTCGTGCCCCTTCTTCTTCTGCCCTTCTTCTACTCTTCTCATATGTTCTGTCTTAGGGACCTGTCCTGATGTCCACATGTTGTGTACCTATCATATACAGAAGTAGTACTAGGTACTGAGGACACAAAGCAGTTAAAAAAGCAAAACAAAACAGGAACACCATTAATTTCATAGTCTAGTTCAAGAAAAAAGCATGAAAATAGAACAGTGTAAGTTACATACTCCTCCCTCTGTATGCCTGCACTGTCTCCATTTTATAAAACCGATCTCAGTATAGTATGATCACTTGTTTACTCGTCTCCTTGACCTCTTGAAAAGTAGTGGTCATATCAGGCTGCCTGAAACCCTGATGTCCCCTGTAGTGCCTGGAATTCAATGTGTTTGATAAAGGATGGGACAAAGGAGAGCATACACAATAGCATATATTAGGTGTTGCAAATTGTTAATTCTACAGAGGAGGGATCACTCCTTCAGAATATGGTGGTCGAGGAAGGTTTTAATACCTCTCTGCTCCTTATAAAATTCTGTACAAGTCTAATGTTTGTTTTTCTCTATTTTATTCACCTTCCCTACATTTAGTGGTTGATTCCTTCCTTTTTACCCCCTTTGAAAACCAGGCTAAATTCTGGCCTATAGGAATCCTTCCCTTGTAATCAGTTACCTGACTCCTAACTCCTAGCTCTATGTTTTGCCCCCACACTGCACCAATGTTTATAAAGCCTTACCTACTGATACGGGGTGGTGGGGGGGTGTCCTATATTTCCAATTACTTATTATCTGAGTTCCTGCAGTCATATTGAGAAGCAAAAGTCACAACTGAAATAGTTCACTAGAGAACTGACCTCATATAAAACAAGACTCCCCTCAAACATCCCTCTGTACTTAACTAGGTCGGCACTTCCTGTTATACAAACAACTTCATTCAGTCTCTGCTGCCTGTGGAGTATTGTGATGTGTGACAATACAGTGCAAATTCAATGCAAATCTATTACAAGGTACATTTTTAAATCTTGTAAAAGATACAGAATTTTGTGAAGCTAATGAAGATGATGTGGAGACCTCATCAAATCACATGCAAGGCTAGTCACAATCTAGCGGTGGTAGACCAGTTAACAATTGAAGAACATAAAACAAGCAAGGGTTTTATAAGAGAATGATTTGAATGTTGAAATGTTTTTTAAATGCCAGGAAAAATATATATATAAAACTTTTAAATACTCTTGCAAGAATTAGCCTCTTCATGATCACATTGTGCAAGTCAAATGTGAGGAATAGCATTTAAGCTATCATATAATTTTGTCTAAAAAATTAAGCCAAAAAAAGAATCAACACTTGATTCTCTTCATTCTCAGAATTAGTGCTAAGTATAATTACAACTTACCATATTTCCCCATGTATAAGATGCTCCCATGTATAAGACGCACCTTAATTTTGGGGCCCGAAATTTGAAAAAAAAATTTATTACATAAAGTTATTGAGCTCAAGTTTTATTCATCATAAAATTCATACAACTCGTCATCACTGTCAAAACTCCCAACCATTAGCTTGTCTTCATCTGTGACTGATGACAAATCACTGTTTTCATATAGTGCCTCGTCCTCAGTTCCATCAATGGCATTTGAAATGCCACACTTCTTAAATGACTTGACAATGATCTACAACCACTGTATAAGACGCACCCAGTTTTCAGACCCCAAATCTTTTGAAAAAGTTTGCGTCTTATACATGGGGAAATACGGTAAATGTTAATAAGATAAATCTGCTGTTATATTTGGTTTCATTTTTAAAGATAAAGAATCAATTAAATCTTTTATTTATTATAAAGTGTTGATCCCATTTTAAATGATGTCATTTAAAATAGACTTTTCCTGATACCAGTTATCGAGGCTTCCTGTACTGCTTTGTCAGCTTTTACACTTGCAAATTTGTTTTCCCCCAGCTACACAATAAGCCCTCCAAGGACAGAAATCATAAATTCTATTTTTCTTTAGTACCTGCCTACACCACCTGCAGCCCATTCCCAATCACAACCCACTGCTCAGAAATCAGAGGAAACTGAGCATGCAGAATATATTAATGATCGATTACCTCATTTGGAGGATAATACTCCTGAAGATAAGACTGCCTGTCCCCAACCTTCATGGTGATATCGGTTTCTCACCTAATTACTTAGCTACATGTCCTTTAATTCATGACGCCTAAAACAGAAAAAGATTTCGAGATTGCCTTTTAAGGTGTTTTGTTTTGTTCTGTTTTGTTTTGGTTTGGTTTGGTTTGGTTTTTTTCACCCTACAGGACATTCTCTCCTACCATAAGAGGAGTCATCAGCGGCTCTCTCCTGGATTATATCTGGGTTACCTAAAGCTGTGTAGCTCTGTGGATCAGATCAAAGTTCTTGTTACTCAGAAGTTACCCAACATTCTCTGCCACGTGAAGATCCGTGAAAACAATAACATTTCCAAGTAAGTTGTGAGGAGTTTGGATTTTCATTGTGATGAAACAACGGCTTGAGTGAGAGTTTGATGCGTCAAAAGGAAAATGAAGTGTTACTTCCCAGTGTAGTTTCTATGGTGAGAAGTCCTCAGGGGCCAGTACACTGGGGCAGAGACAGAGCTGCGTTTTAACATTGGGATAAGGAGAGCTTGTGGTGGTGGTGAAAGGAGACAGCCCCTTTAAAGGGGACACGGCCCTCTCACTTTCCTCGCTATATTATCCATGTTGCAACCACTAATGCCCAACTGGTTAATGAACAGATGCCCTTCTCTTTTAACATTACTATATCCCATATCTTTTCTTCACAACCTAATAAGTCACTATTTTTTCAAATATCACTTGTGGAAATGGGTTCTGGTTGAGTTGATTCCCCCTTAATCTTAAAGGACCCCTCTATCCTCATCCTCCCCAGCCCTAGCCCTCTGGCCTGAGGACTTTGTATGTTCTCTACACTCCTTGTGATTCTCCAGGGAAGAAAAGAAGTAACAAGGCCTGAGCCTCTGGAAACTGCTCTATGGTTTGGCATTATGGTGAATTACACTGTTAGCTTTGGGAAAGTTGCCCAATCTTGGTAATCTGGCTCAGCTTTACAACTAGCCTCTTAGCAGGCCTCTGAAAGTCTGCTGTAATGAACTGAGTTGTGATCAACATGAAAAAGAATGTTTTTTAAGGGAAGGAAAGAATAGATAAGAAAAGTGACTCTCCAGAGCTTGCCAGGCTCAGAGTACAAATTATATACCCAATACTAGTTACACCTATGGATTTGCTTAACCAAAGGAGACTCTAATGTGGTCATTTAAAATTGTGTCCCTAAAGTGTAAAGTTTATTAACTATAGTGTCTCACAATGCTAATTAAATACCAGTTGATGACAGTGAAGGAGATGGGGGTAATGATGATGGTCTATTCAAAGAACTCACTAGCTGCCATATTCTCTGTCGCTTATCAACTACACCTAGACTCTAAGTCTGCCATCTGGTGGTCACTTCTACAATCAACATTAGTTATCTCCTTCCCAAGAGGTGACATGGCTCATTTGTGGGTTGACTCAGCAGTGCTTATTTTCATCCATTTTCTAGATTTGTATCTTAAAGGTTTAAACTCTATCTTTTAGTGATTATATCAGCTAATTTCCCCTTGCCAAGGATCCGTTTCCTTTTCACAAGATATTCCAGTAGTCTTCACTCTGCCAGTTCCACCTCTCTCATCCTTAGAAATTAAACTGATTAGTTAGTGGTAGATATTTCATGGTATTCCTACTGGTAATTTATTTTCTAATTTGACTGCAGATGCTATTTTAGCAATGTGCTTCTTCGGGTTTTGTGTGTACTTGTGCTAGTCAGAACCCCCTCATTTAGTTCAATATCAGCAATGGGAGAAAAGAAATCGCTCCCTAGCAGGTTCTCAAAGATTTCAATTATTTATGAAGCCAACAGTATGCCCAGATTGAAATAGGATTTAATTTTTATTTTTTTTCTCTCTCTCATTGGGACAAAGGGTAGATTTTCCATCATCTTTTCCAGTGTGGGAATTGAAATGAAACAGATATCTTGAAAACAGAAACTTTTTTAAGAGGGCAGTTGGTTAAAAGAGAGTGTTTTCTGATGAAAAGCTCATGTCACAATCAATTTCTTTTTCTGACCCACAGATTGGAGCCCAGGCTGGTATAACCCATTGGGGACAGCCCTCAGAGGGTTTTCATGAGAGTGGGAACATATGTTAGCACCTCCTCTCTTTCCATCCCCAGAGAGGAGGGCTTTCCTTCCCTCGCTAGCCTGCTCTAAGAGCATGTTGCTGTTCCCTAAAGAGTTAGAAGCAGGCAAAACAGGGCCAACTGAATGTGTTTAGAGACTTGTACTAAAATACCTGTGGAAACAATGTTACCCAAGAGGCATTTACCTTGATCTTTTCAAGCTCCTTTTGAAGAGCAGCCTTTTGGGGACAAACCAGATGTGCTTTCCTCCCACCACAATTCTTTCCCTTCCCTTCCGCATGACATTTGGAAAAGTTCATTAGGAAGGATTATAGAGCATACAGAATAAAGACACATGACTGGTTTGAAAGGAGGATAGAAGCAGTGGTGTGTGTCCCTTGGTTCCTTTTATTGGAATTGTCTGGTGTTTCTGTTTGTGATTCTCCTCAAGCTTTTGGAAGGGGAAAGAAACCAAAATAGTCCCCATGATTACAACAGGCCAGGGTTGAAATGTGCCATGTGGTTTGTTGCCTGAGTTGGATCAGAGTCCTGTGGTTGCCCAATTGCTGAATTAACCAGCAGATGCCCCTGTGGCAACATGTAGGGTCTCAGAACTTAGAGAGGATCTTCAGGGAGAGGAAAATGAAGACCAGTCGGGAAATTATTACAAACTATTTAAAAGCTCCAATCTCAAAAACTGACTGATACAAATGAGACCCGCTGTTCTGAGGTATGTGTGGTTTGATAGGTGCACTAAGCTTAAATTAGAAAAAGCTCATTTGAAACTCCATTTGGGTGGCTAAAAGTTCAAATATCATGAATTGCATTGAATTTTAACCGCCAGAAATTGGTTATCCAGGTTCTGGACATACACACTAAAAATGTTCTGAGCTGTGTTCTGAACTTTTGTTATATTTCTAATTTTAACTTGACTCAACATACAGAGAGGAGTGGGAATGGATCCAAAAGCTTGCTGGCTCTGAATCTATGGAAAGTGTGGATCATACTTCTGACTGCCCCATGCAATTGTTCTTCTACGAGCTCCAGATGGCAGTGAAAGCTCTCCTTAAGCAGATCAATATACCTCTACACCAGGTACTAGCTCTTACCATTTTTATCTTCTTTTTATGGCTAATGGGAACTGCATTTTGGCATAAAAGTCAAGAGGTAAAATATATATGTATGTTAATTTTCATTGATTTAAATACCACTTTGCATGTACAAGCATATTTTGAATTCGATGCTGACCAGTAGGCGCAGACTGCCCTTCTGTTCCTTTTCTCTATCTTCTCTGTATTGACCTCTTCCAAGGTTCCTGGACCCCACTTTCTATGCTTTGGTCAAGCAAGGAAAAGTCATTGACTAGCCCACCTTGAAAGACACCCAAGTGTCAGCTTCAGAATAGTACGAAGCAAGGAAAATAAAGAAATAAAGAAGTGTTTGCATAGATGGACAAACGATGTAGCCCAGCCCAGAGGACTGGTGATCATGTAATCTATACCCATGGCCAAGGTTATGCCTGCTATCTTTCCACAGAGAATTTACTATCAAAATTATGGTCTTATCTGAATCAAAATGTGCAACTCTTAACCTCCGCTAACAAGCAATTTCAAGGAAAACTGTTGGCATAGAAGAGAGTAGAAAAAGTTTATTAGCCTCTGTCCAGTAAGTTAACATGATGCAGCATCAGCTTGAAGTCTTGATTATTTTTTTTTGCCTACGCTCACCTTCTCCTCCCACCCAGCGCACACACATGCACACATACACACACCATCCCTATACACACACACACACAGAATGAACCAAGTTTAGCCTGTAAACAGGAAGACCATTATAGGAGTAACTGTCTCTTTTTTAAAAACAGAGACAACCACGTATTAGCCTCTGACCCATGGAGGCAGGGGTACAGATTGCAGCCTCTAACTGTTTTTCCATGGGGTATTGCTCTGATTCTAAGTTAATGCTGCAAGGCTGGTCCAAAACAACCAACGCTGACAATAAATTAAATTGCACAAGATGCCATAAAGACACTAGGGGAGCAATTGGATTATTCCAGGGGTGGCCGTGTGTTCAGGAGGAGAAAAAAAATACCAGGTCTGCTTGTGACAGTAGATACTATTAAAGGGTTTCTTGGGCTTAGCAGGTTTGGAGCGGCTCATATTTCATTGGTGACTCTTGGGCTACATATATATGTTGGGAGAAGGCTGCCTAACTGCCTAAGAGTGCATACAACTTTTTTTTTTTTTGGATTCTTGTAAAATTTTCTCAGTCCTTGGCCAGAAACTACATTTTTCCCCCTTAACCAACTTAAATTGAAACTAGTGGATTTTTAATTCAATCCATTTTTGTTGCTTCATGTAATTATATTCATCATTTTGAAAAGCCCACAGAATGCAATCATTTTCTGCTTTTATAAGAAGCATAAATGTTGTTTTCAGAGTTTATGTGGAACATTACTGCCTTAAATCTTGATTTTATATAGCATTATTAAATGGGCTGAACCCTAATATTTATGTTGTATAAAAATTCCAAGCTTGAAGTCATGTAATTTTGTTAGATGTTTTATGCCAGTTTGGTGTTGTTTATGTAAGTGCCATGTTGTAACTCTCCTATTTTTCCTCCGCGCGTGTCCCTCTGCAGGCAAGGCACTTCCGCCTCTACACACAGGAGGTGTTGGAAATGGGTCACAATGTGTCCTTTCTTCTCCTGCTCCCTGCCTCAGACGACGTCTGTACAGCCCCAGGACAGAATAATCCTTACACCCCACACTCAGGGTTTCTTAACCTCCCTCTTCAGATGTTTGAACTTGGTATAGTAGCTTGTTTCACCTAGAAATATTAACCCAGCCTCCTTATAATAAAATCACAAAGTTATATCTGTTCCCCCTTGTCCCAGTGGAGGGTCAATAAATCACATGATGGCTTTGGCAACAACCCTTCCTAGAACTGTGTACAAGTCTGAGAGAAAGCAAAGCTCCAAGACTATGTGCCTGAGCAATAATTATTGAAACGTAGCTAAGGCCCAATGGAGAGGAGGGAATTCTAAACAGAAAGTTCAGTTATCAGGCTGCAGTTCTTGCCTCCCCTTTTGCTTTCTTAAAACATAAATACAAGAACTGATGTTTTCATGAAAAGTTCTCGCTCTCTCTCTCTCTCTCTCTCTCTCTCTCTCTCTCTCTCTCTCTCTCTCCCTCTCCCCCTCCCTCCCTCCCTCCTTCAGCTGGGAGGAAAAACTGAAATTAAAATGTAGAGTGTGTACCACTTTGGAGGGAAAAAAAGCCTATAACTTTAAACTGTGCTGATTTATTAAATAGAGTCTGATATTAAATAGACTGAAATTCTAGCAGACCATTTGAGAAATTGACAGGGTCTCCCAGGATGCAATATTGTGATTATACTGTGGGATTCTGAATGGTGGAAGATCTTGTCCTGACTTTCAGACATGAATAGCCTGGGCCCCAGTTTCCCTATTTTTGCAGAGACCCCTGCTGCCTACTGAGAATGTGAATAGGGAGGCTTTGTCTCGTCCAGTGCTTCATCTTATAACAGGCCAATAAGAGGCAATTAGCACGAGTTCCGTCGGTTCAAATAAATTGTAGGATTTCTGGGAGGGTGAGTGACTGAGTGGGTGGAATGGAGGCAGGCTCTCTTTGGAGCGCTCCCCAGCCATCAGATTTAGCAGCAGGCAAGGCAACTGCCTGATGTCTCATGTTGAGACTTGGGCATCTGAATCTGAATTTATCCTTTGAGGATGAATGGATTAAGCCTCTCAGTTTCCCTTGCTCCAAGGAGTTCCGATGCCCAAAACCTGATGAGCAGCGGTGGTTATTTCCCAGAGGAGGGAGAGTTATCAGACCTGCAGACTGGGCTTTGAGAGTCCTGGGTCCCCGGTTCTATGGCATTGGCCATACCACTCTCAAGAGGCCTGGGTGTGAATGTGACTGTTTAATGAGTTCCGTACCCAAAGAACATTATTATTCCATGATGTAATTGTATTGCTGGTAGGTGATATAGTTTAGATCAAAGTATTCCAATTCCAGTTAATAAGTATATAGTTTGGGTGCCTAATGTGGAGATTCCGAGATGAGTAAGCCAAAGGCTCTGCCCTCAGGGGCTTTCAGTAGAGTGCTAGGAGTAAAAGAATACCAATTACACTTTAATGAAGTAGGATGTGCCCAAATCATTAGAATTAAACGATATTAAAATAAAAGGAAGAACATTTTCTCAAAGAAGATACCAGAAAGCTGAATTGGAGGAGCGGCTATTTGATGTGGGTGTTAAAGAATGGACAGGATGTTAATAAACATGGGTAATAAGAAAAGCTTTCTTGTCGGGAAGCAGAATGAGTGAAGACTTGAGACTAGAAGAACTCAGAGTCAGGAAAAGAACAAGTGGTCCAATTTGGCTAGATCCGAGAAGTGATGTGAGGAAATAGTGGCCATAAAGCTGTACGGACAAGTTGCGGACATCCTGGGCAGTATCATGAAAGTCAGGCTGAGGAGTCTGCTTGAGATCAATTGAAAGCAAGGTTGAAGGGAATAGTTCAGAGGTTATTATAATAGCCCAGGGTTAAGGTAGAAACAGTACCCCCCAAAAAAAACAAATACAGATGCAAGAAACATTGGGAGTAATCAACAAGATTGGGCAACTTTTTGAATAAGAAAAGGTGAAGTCGAGAGTATCCCCAGGGTTTCCAGCCTCAAAGACTGTAAAACTATTGCTGCCCTTACAAGAAGTCAGGAAGTCAGGGAGGAACATGGTTTGGGGGCAAAGTGATGCTTTGAGCTCTGAACATCTTGAGTATGAAGGTGCTGATTTAACACCTGAGTGGACATGTCCAACTGGCATAGAAATGCAGGAGGGCAAGTCGGGTACTAGACACAGAAGTCTGACCCGTGCTTATTGACAACATCAGAAACCATGAAAGCGAATGACTTCCTAAGGACGGATCGTTGGTAACTAACGGAAAAGAACTAAGGAAAATACTCCATTGGAGAGCTAACCAGGAGTCCATGCTGTGTAAAACAGTCATACTGTTCCATGATTGCAGGCAAAACTACATGAAATCCATTTCCCCATGCCTCAGTGGCCTTGGTGGGAGAACCAATGATTTGGTATCAATCAGAATAGTATATGATTCCCAAGACCCTGGAGGACCAAGCCCTGCAAGTCTCCCTGCTTTCTGCTCTCTGGAAGGCTCAGGCGCTATTCTTGGGCAGCCACACTTGGTCCCACTGATGTTACTCTCTATTCTACAATTTCCTCTCTCCACTCATTTGTTCATTAATTCATCAATACATACTTATTTTAAATAACCTACTATGTGCCAGGTACTATTCTAGGTACTGAAGAATCAGCAATGAACAAACTCTTCGTGAAGTTTCCCTTCTAGTGGGGGAGACAAATAGTAAACCGATCAACAAACAATGATATTAGAAATGTCAGACAGTAGTGGGGACTCTGAAAAATAAATAAATCAGGGCAAGGGACTGGAGTGCAGTGACAGGAGCTGCAGTTTTGTATAAGAGGACCTGGGAAGGCCTCTCTGCAGAAGATACATTTGAGCAGAGACCTGAGATTTCCATGCAACGGGAACAGCAAGTGCAAAGGCCTTAAAGCAAGAGAGTGTTTGGCTAAGAAATCAGTGTAGGTGATAAGTAGGGACTTCCTTCTTCCATAGATAGGTCCAGCGTACAAGGTCAACACAAACAGTAAGCATTTCTGAGAAACAGAAGGTTGTTGGAAATTCAGCCACAATGCAGAAGATTGTATTAACAACATAGGAAATTGTAATACAACTTGAAAAGATGCAAATTATGGGACTATGGACATTATAATAAAGCATTCCTCTATATTTCAGTTTGACTTGTGTAAGTCATCCCTGTCCCAATGGAAGTATTTGAGATTTGGCAAACTGACCACAACCCTGCCAGTGGCCTGAGTGAAGCATAAATAACTTGCTAACCAGCTATGGAAAACTGCATCTGGGCCTGTTCCAGCACTAAATAGATGGAGCAAGGACTAAATGATAAAGGAGCTTAGCCCTGTGTGTCCTGGAGGAAAGATGAGGCTGGCCAAACCCACAGGTGTTCCTGCACAGGACTGGTCATCACACGGGGATGACGTGAGATGCTGGAGCGGGGCTGACCTGAGGCAAAGTGGGACACTTCAGACCCACTCCTTCTCCATGACCTGAGGCCTGACATTCCCCCATCCTTTGGCCAAAAGCAGGATTGCGCTCCTCCGCTGTAATAAGGCATGTGCTGGGGGCTGACAAGGGTCACTATTTATACTGTTCCCAGAAACAAAAGGAAAAGCAGCATCATGTGCCCTTAGAGACTCTGTGCAGGGACATGGCCTCCTGAGGACTGGCCTCGCCTGAACTGAAGCGGTCGCCCTGCCCTGACCCTATGGGCAGTCACCACTGACAGCAGGCCTGTGATGAGGAAAGTTGATTTTTATTGATTTCCTTGGCTCTATGATTCAGAATGACTGGATTAGCAAGATATAAAAATGGGGTTTTTAAAAGATAGATTGAAACCTGGTATATATTTCATACTTCGGTGCTTGGCTACATCCTTCATTCAACAAACATTTACTGAATTTCCACTATATGCCAAGGACTGTGCTGGGACTGGACACACAGGTATTAATAAGACACAACCCGTCCACCAGAAGTCTAGAATCCAGCAGAGGACACAGACATCTCTACCAACAGGCCCAATACAACGAAAGCACTGCTGTAAGAGGTGGGCTGTGGAATTTCAGAGGAAAGACACCTAATCCTTCCTTACAGAGATAATATTTGAGCTAGGCCTTGAAGGATAAACAAACATTCAGAAGAGGAAAGAAAAGGCGGAGCAGAAAATCACTTTAAGCAGAGGGAACAGCATGCACAAAGGCTTGGAGACCTGGAGAAATGCAGCCCAATTAAGCACATTCTTAGTAGCTCACTATGACAGATGCTTAAGGCATTTAAGGAAGAGTGACAGGAGATGAAACTAAAAATTAAAAAGGTCAAAATCACGAAGAGCTACTTATGCCCTCCTAAAGAGTTTAGACTTTATCCTATAGGCAAATGGGAGTCATTAAAAGATCTTAAAAAAAGGAATAATATGGTCTGACTGGTTCTGAGCAGCTCTGCAGAGGATGGATTGCAGGAGAGAATAAAAAAGAGCTGAGACTAGAGGCAATAAGCGAGTGACCCAGGTGGGCAGTGAGCAAAACCCTAGCCCAGGCTGCCACGGTAGGGGTGTAGAAGACGGAGCAGAGGCAAGAGGACTTTAGGAGTTAGAATCAATAGGATTTTGTGATTGATTTAATGTGGCTGAAGAGCAAGATGGAGGAGCCAGAGAGTCTGAATAGGGTGCTGAGATGGATAATGTTGCCATCTACCAAAATAGGAAATACTAGGGGAGGAACAGGTTTGGGGGAGGGGAGAGATGATGAGTTCAGTTTGACAAATGATGAGTTTTGAGGTGCCTGTGGGATATCCAGGCATTGAGCCTAATGGAATCCAGGCCACAGGCTTACAAGAAATGGCACAGTCTCAACCCTCATTCCTAATGCCCATTTTTCATGATTTAGGATACCAGTCCTGAATTCCAACTGTCTACTCATTCACTACCAGGGATCTTGAGAGGGGCATCTTGTGCCCAGGCTCTTTCTGACACCTTGGCAAAGAATCATGGAGTTAAAACTGACCCCAGGAGGTAATCTTGTCAATTCCTTAGCTTCCAAAAGAGGCTCTGTGACCCAGACTGGTTAGGACTTGACTGAGTTAGAGATCTTTAGGGAGACTATTCTAACTAACCTCAATCCTATTCTAATAGTCTAACTACTAAATGCCTCATTCCTCCTGGGGAGATGAGATAGGGGTGTGAACAAACACTTATTTTTTATCTGGTATGTGCCACATGCTGTTCTGGGCATTCTGTGTATATTATTTAATCTTAGGTAGGCATTGTTATCCCTGTCTCAGATATGAGCAAACTGAGGCTCCCTGAGGTTACATGCCGCTGTCATGCAGGTAGTAAGTGAGTGGTAGAACTATGATTCTAACCCAGTAATGTCTGACACCTAAGCCCGAGTACTTCCCACTCTACTCTACTCCTAATCTGACTTCTAGTGTTGGTGCTGACTGCATTTTAATCTGTCATTATCTTATATAGAAAGAAGAGAAAACACCACAGAAAGTTAGCCTTAGTTTGTCAATTACTAACAAATCCTGTGGTCCAGATGATGCATTATGTACCCTTATATGATTTTTGTCTGTAAAATGCATGTGATTCACATTAGAAAAAAATTAGAAGCTTCCAGCCTATCCTCCCCTCCTCGGTGATGGCTACCAAATGTATCATTGCTAGACCACAAAAGACTATGTTAAAGTAACATTTGTTAAAGTAACATTAAAGGCTCTGGATGAAAACCACTAGAGCAGGAAAGTGAAGCTGTTTCAGTTGAAAGGTCCTCATAGCTCACTGTGGTGAGTGGCACGGGCGGTGTGGGCGCAGTGAGACCACCCACTGATCCAAGACTTCTACTGCAAGGAGACACAACAAGAGAAAGTGGTGGACACCCTGGGGTTTTAGAATTTAGATGAGACTCATAGTGCTTCTTTTAAAGAAATTCTTCAGTCCCTCTCCCTATCTTCCAAGTTATAGTTTAGAAAGAAGGAAAAAGATATTTTTTTAAGCCACTTGGTTTGGAAAGGCAGGCTGTGAGACACTCGGCTCTTCACTCTCCAGCCAAGGGTGGACATCTGTCAAGTGCTAACGGGATATAATCCCTCCTTGAAAAGCATAAAGGCATATTCAGGGAGTTACAAGGGTCAAGAGTAAGCTACAAATTAATGGCAGCTCTTTCCTGTAGGCTACCAGTAGATATCACAGACCTGAAGTACACCTTTCAAAACAGGGAAATCGAGAGCACAGCGAGAAAAGGGACGGAAGGAACGCGGAGCCTGGAGGAAAGGCCTGCCCTCTTCATCAGGGCATGCATTTTTGTTGTTGATGTTGTTCATTCAGCCCATAAACATTCATTGAGAAGCTATAATGCTCCCGGTTTTTGAGGAAATACAAATTAATAGGAGACATGGTTCTCGCCCTCAAAGAAATCACAGTCTAATGTCAAGGCAGTCAGTAAACACACAGCTACAATAAAGCAGCGTTAAGTGTCCTGATACATTTAGAAACGAGTGCCCTAGTAGCACAAATGAGAGAGACTCCTTGGGCCTGGCGGCCAAGAGGGGCCAGTGAGGGTCCCACGGAGAAGACATGTATCGGTATCAGAAGAAGCTGACCTGAAGGTATTAGTAGAGGAGGGGATTTGAGGACAGGAAGATGCATGTTTCAAAGCATGTACCTTAGAAGGACCTGTGATAAGTTCAGCTTGACCCACGTTTAGCGTCAGTGTGGGTAGAGGTGGGAGACGGAAGGTGGCTGCATGATGGAAGATACAACTGAAGATGGAGTTAAATTCCGGACCACAAGGAACTTCCGTATGGCGAGAAGATGGTTCGATTTTATCTTGATGTCAAAAGGAGCTGTGTCTGTAAGCAGGGAGCTGGTAGAAGCAGATCACGTGGGAGGAGCTCAACAGTCTGTCATTGACTAAGAGGCCACATGAAATCAGTTCTCCTGTGTGGCGGGCAAGGGGTTAGTGGAGTAGAGGAAGTGAGGAGGAGGGACCCAACACCAGAGACAACAAGCAACCCCCGAGCTGAGACTACCGAATTCAGAGACGCACAGCTGGAGGGGGGGGGGGGGGGGCGCGGACGCCCCCAGGCTGCTCTTCTCGACCACTTCCAGATGAGGAAATACAGGCAGGGAAGGTTTCCCTAAACCCACCTGATATTCACCCTAAGGGGAAATCAAGCAAGGACGCAGGCAGTGGTAAGATGGGAATTGCAGGGTCACAGAAATCTCTCGATATGCAGAGAAGGGCTTCCTCACTAGGCGTACAGGTGTACAGAGGCCCAGATTACCATTTTAAGGTAACATGGTTTTATCTTCCCGAAATGGCCAGGTCTAGGTCTCAGGAATCAACAGCAAAGAGGCCAGGCCCGAGGGCGGTAATTAGATATTCTTCCTAGACTCCCTCACCAAAGAGCCAGAATAAAAACGTTTCCACATATTTGCTGAGTTGTAACAGCCATATTTCCAAAACATGGAACACACTGGTACAGGTCAGAGGTACAGAAAGTGAAGTTCCTGGAGAGTGAATCTCCCCATTCAACAATGGCCAAGAAAAGACTGGTACTGCACTAGTCTGAATCAGGACGCTTTCCTAATCCCAGTGGAATCTGAAGTTATGGTACGTGATCACAGCCAGCCAGAGAGGTACGGAGAATCTGCCTCCCTCAGGCTGTCTGCACCAAGCTGAGTCCCACACCCCTCTCTCCTTCCTCCATGATGGAAGGTTAGACCCTTTCCTCTGGCCCGTAATCTTTTGAGAGAGGAAGGCCAAGTTTGCTGAAGATAAACATGGTCTGTCAGGGCATCCGTTCTATCATTCCTTTTGAGGAGCAGAGAGGCAGGAAGAGGATCAAAACCCATCATACTAGGTCCTTAGGGAAGCTTTCCAGCCAGAAAAAAAGACAGCCTGAGAAAAGCATGTCTTGTATCTTCTGGGACTTCTGGCCTTGGAAAGGCGCACACAAGCTGCATACTGGAAATCAGACATGGTTATAAAACTAAGTTTCAAATGCTACTTGGCTTTTTTTTTCTTTAAAGTGATAAGCAAACTTTATTTTCCCAATATATGTGTGTGTGTGTATATATATATATATATATATATATATATATATATATATATATATACACATACACACATACACACATACACATTCAGCCCCAGCTTTAGGGACTGAGCATCATAAACTGCATCTGAGCCAACCCCACTTCCCCATACCTTTCCAGGACTTGGTAAACCTTAAAAGGGAATACTGTCTGACTAAAGCCAGACAACTGGCCCCTTAAGAGCACATTTATAATTTATTTATGGCTTAATATTTTCCACTGATAGGATTAATAAATCATGTTTTCATTCAACTTGTTTTCTCTGAGGTATGAATTTCTCTATTTTGATACCAGATCTTAACATGTTTTATTTTGCTTGTCCACTTTCCAGTTCATTTTTGCAGCTACAGGGAGAAATTTATTAGTCTGTATTGCCGCCTTTCTGCTGTTGTGGAGCTGGATTCTCTGAATACCCAACAGTCCCTGAGGGAAGCGATCTCAGACAGCGAGGTTGCAGCTGCCAAACAAAGACACCAGCAAGTTTTAGATTTCATGCAGGTAACAGTTTGTTTCTTCGGGGGGTAAAAGGAAGGAAGAGAGGGCAGGGTAGGGGGGATTAGAAATAGGCACGCAAAAGCACAGCAACCTGGGCTAATTTAAAGACCACAGAGCGCAAGCAGCCTGTTGATTCGATTAAAATCCAGAGCTCAGGGAGATGTGCATTTTTAAACAAAGGTTAAGAAAAACCTACAGATAAATCACAGTGTTATTAGGAGCTGCATCAGCCACTGGGGCGGGTAGCAGTGGTTTCCCCGCGTGGAGAGAAAAATCACCATCAGAATGTTATTCTTACCTGGTAGCCCATTGATAAATCCAACAGAAAGAACCATTGTATTAATTAACGCAGTATTCCAGAGAAAAAGAGAAGAAAATGACTCATTAGTTTATTTTAACCCAAATCAAGTTGGACTTAAGATTCCTCACGCTTTGAACTTCTTTCTGGCAGAGTGGACACTTCAGTGTGTGACCACAGAGGTCAGGAAATGTGCTCCCTGACCATGGTCTTGGCCAGAAAGCCTTTACAGTGACAACCTCAGGGTCTTGTAATGGGTACTGACTCGTCATCAAGAAAACTGGGACCTGGTCTGAAATCGCCTCTAAATCCCTTGGACAAATCGTATGATCTTTCTGCCTATAGTTATCCAATTCACAGAATGAGTAAAATTGCAATAGTCCTGTGATAAAAGTTCACAAAGATATATATTCAGTTCAATTCGGTCATTATTTGTTGAACACTCAGGTGTCAGGCACTGAAAGAGAAATAGAGTTGAATTAGACATGGCCCTGAACTTAAAGAGTTTAAAATCCATTATGATAGACAAGAAATGTATATAAATACTATTTGTAAAATGAGTTAGGTGCCAAAAGAGGACTAAAAAAAAAAATAGTTCTGTATCAACACAGAGAAGTAACAATGTACTTACTTACCTTGTGGGTATAAGAAAAGCTGCCACAGAGGATGTAACTGATATCTGAGATCTGAGCTGGGCCTGGAGGGATAGGTTAAACTATAGAGAGCAGAAACAGACTGGGGGGAGGGGGGAATCCAAAGAAAAAGTATAAAACAGACAAGGCAGAAAGGGCAGAAAAAGAGTCATTGGGCAATGGTGAAGGGTGGTAGTAAGAAACAGCACAAGAATGCAAGTAGCTTTATTAAAGGCCATGGTGAGAAATCTGCACTTTATTCTGTAGGCAATGGGGACCTGGCCCAAGTTTTGGAGTAAGAAAGTTCCAGGCTCTCCTGCTGTTTAGGACAGCCCTCCCGTGTGCTTTGGTGTGGCCATACTGGTTGTGTGTAGTGAGCGCTGGTTCTCACTGGCCATGCTTACTGCGTAACTTGCACGTGGTTCCTGGATTTAAGGAGGAGAAGACTAAAGGCAGGAAAACCAGATACAAAGCTATTAGAACCATCCAGGCAAGAAGCAGTGAGGCCCTAAGAGGAGGAAATGCTGTGAATGAGGCAAACACATTTCTCCTCATCTGTAAAACAGGGCTGACAATAATAATAGCACTAGCTCACAGTGTTACTGAGAGAATTCAACAAGATAACGCATGTAAAGCACTCTGCAAAATGCCTGCACATAAGTATGCAGTACATCATATATTCATTTATTCATTCGTTCATTAATAAGAAGGGGAAATGCTTTGAAACATGAATGTGCAAGATTTGGGGTTTATTAAGGACTCGGGAAGAAGATGCTGTAATATACTTGCAAAGCGGTGGGCGAACAAATCCTATCCTCCTTCTTTCCCTGTGGAAATGAGATCTCAGGTGACCTCTCAAACTAAAGAAATAAACCTTTTAAGAAGTTAATTGCTCCCTTGACCTGAGGACATAGTATTTAACAATTCAAAACATTTACATCATTTATTTTATTTCCAGTAAAAGTGGAACGCAGATAGCGGGGTGGAGTGGGGTGGGAAGAGTGAAGCATGTGGAGAATAGGAAGGCCTGGCTTACCCTCGGAACCCAACATAAAGGACAGGGGCGCGCAGTAAGAAGAGCAATGACCAGAAGTCAACTGGCATACATATTTAGTCCAGAGTCTTCTCACAAACCTCGGAGTATTGGCCAGTTCGTTGGATCTCCTGGGGCCTCAATTTCCTCCTGTGTAAAATGAAAGGATTGGACTAGATGACTTCTCAGGGCCTGGTTGGCTCTAACGTTTCATTACTTCTTTAACAGCCATGAATATTTTTAGAGAAGCACTGTTGAACCACGCCATAGGTTCCGCTTCGGCTTTATGCCTCTTAAGCTTCCCTGTATCCGGCACGTGCATCCGACGAAAAGGCTGGATTTCTTTGGTCCGTCACAGCTCAAACCCCTCCAGGAGTCCGTGGCTTCATTCTTACTCGTGATGACTACCTTGCTCCTTTCTTTTTCATCCAGGCTAGGGCCCCCTTGCCTGTTTCTGTCTTCCTTTCATCACACCATGAAGAGGGATGGATAAAGGCAGGCCAGACCAGGAATCCGTCAAAGTTCTAGCCTGCTCTGGTCTCCCAAAGCAGGTAACCTGAGCGCCCCTCTACGTCGTCTCCCTTCCACCCAGCCAGGTACATGTACACTTGGAGAAAAGCCAGTTCCCAAAGGGTTCAAAAAAACATCACTTCTTGGCCAGGATAAAACCAGCCCACCTTCCTGCACCCATAGCCTTCGGGGGCTGCCTTGCTCCATCCAACATGGATAACTTCACCGACTGAAGATAATGTGGTGTCACCTATCCCCTTATCTATCTATGCTGGGCTTCTCAATCTCTCTTTCTCTCTCTCTCAGAATGAAAACCAGCTGCAGCTCACCCATTGGCATTCACAGTTCAGCCCACCACACACCATACCCTGCAGAGGCAACTGCCAGCCACGAGAGCATTTGTGTGATTCCAGATCTAAGACAGTGTTGAAGTTACTACACAAACCAAACATTGTAAAGAGCAAGGGAGTCTATGTAAATACAGTGAGGAAAAGAAGCCAAGGAGTGAGTGCAGCCAGCCAGGAGGAGGGCTGGACCGGGGGAAGTACAGAAAGGCATAGATAAGGCATACAGGCTTCACAGACAGCACACGCAGCAGAATGTCAAAGTGCAGAGACTTGGAGCTTGGCATCGTTTGAGCTGCTAAAGCCTAAAGGGCAATTAGGCTATAATTTATATACTGTAATGCTTCCAATGCTCCTAAGCTGTAATAGAAACACAGCTCATTAAACATAGCCAATCTATCATCCCCTCAAGCACCTTGTAACTGTGCTGTGAGAAAACCAATCACCTTTACATTTTAATAAAAATATTATCTTGCCTGAGTACAGAGAAAGGGGTGTAATTTATGGGATGAAAACTGAAATTTTTAAAGGGCAGGGTGAGAAATGGATGCAGAACTTTTAACCACCAGACCTAGGGAGTTCATGAGCTTTCTTCTTAAAAACGTGTCAGCAGGTCTTTAGAAGCAGAATTTGGACCTTAAAATCAGGGGGATTATGTTGTCAGTTATTTTTAGATCAACAGTGTAAGGTAAAATGGGTGAAAATGGGACTTCTTTTAGAGCTACTTAGCTAAGTCTGTTAAACTTGGTCCACCGGCCTCCCTGTACCGATGTTTTTTATTTTTCTTCAGTTAATACTTCATCACTTCATCACTGAGAAAAATTAAGAAACATTGTTTCTACACATAATTTAAAAAATTGCTACACTGAATCTCACTATCCATCCTCAGCAATGAGGCTAAAACTATCTTATGCAAAGAGAACAAGTGGATTACTATTAATAATTATATGAGTTACCTAGGGCTGCTGTAACAAATTACCACAAACTGAGTGGCTTAAAACAACAGAAATGTATTCTCACCGTTCTGGAAGCCAGAAACCTGAAATCAAGAGGTCGGCCGGGCCGCCTCCCTCTGGAGGCTCTCGGGGAGAATCTTCCAGCTTCTGGAGGCTGTTGGCATTCCTTGACTCGGGCCACATCACTTCAGTCTCTGCTTCTGTGGTCACCTTGCCTTCTCTTCTGTCTGCCAAATCTCCCTTTTCCTCACTCCTACACGAATGTCTTTATGAGGACATTTATCATTGGAATTAGGGCCTATCCAGATAATCCAGGATGAACGCCTCCTCTCAAAATTCTTAACTTAAATCACATCTTTTGCCACACAAGGGAATATTTACTCTTTTATCATATAAAGGTCATAAACATTCACAAGTTCCAGGGATGGGGACATATCTTTTGGGAGGCCACATTCAGCCCACTACAATAATCATGATTGTCATTTAACAACTGAAAATTGTATAACAAGGTACGGTTTATAAAGTGCACTCATCTACATTATCTTACTTAATCCTCATAATAGTTCTGTTTGAGGGTAGAGAGCCAAAGAATTAGGTAACCACTCATTCATTCATTGATTCATTCATTCGCTGAGCAATCATTTATTGAGTACCTACTTTGTTCTTTGCACAGCCAAGAGTAAACGATACAAAAGCCCAGCCCCTGTCCTTGGCAGGCATTCTAAAAGCTGTCCACAGTCATGTAGTGCCTTTCAAATAACCTTGAGACAAGAGTATGTTGCATGAGGCAGGACCAATAAAAGCCAGATGAGAGAGCAGCCATCCCATCAAGAAAATTTGTCTGAGTCTTGTCTGGAATCTCCACTTTGGCTTTACGCCCTGAACTTCATTCAGATTTCTGCCTTTACAACTCTCAGCGCCTCCTCATGGGCCCACTCGCTGCTGAACCCCCTGCCCGACCCACTGCCTGACAGAGCCTGAAGCTCAGCTCCTTGCTTTCATCATCAGCCCTGCATACGCCGCCAAGTCCTGTCGCCTCAGGACAGAACGAAAAGGGCACAAGCGTTTCAGACTCTGCGCTGTGCTTGTTGGTAGCACCAGCTTGTGGGCACTCTTTAAAGAGTGCTCTTTCACAACAGATGAAGTCCTGAAGAAGGAGTTTTGAAAATAAAGCGGAACACTGGGTAGTCCCTTATCCTTGAAACTTCTACAATCAGTCAGAGAAATCTTAACCTTGCTGTGTTCATACAATGAACACCTTCCACCTGGAAGCTGAGGGACACCAACTTTCCAAATGTTCTTCAAAAATAGATCAAGTGTCCGAGCTGGAAGGGAACTTAGACATTATCTAGTCCAACCTCCTCTTTTTTACAGTTGAGTCAATGGGCCCGAAGAAGTTAACACCTTGCCCAAGACACCCAATGAAATTAGATACGAAACCTATCACCTGCCCCAAGGTCCCAGGCAAAGACGTGTTACAGCCCATGCTGGAGGAGAGTCAGAATAACCAAATTTCATGGCCAGTGTCTATTAAGATGTGGGAAAATATCTACCATCTACAGAGGTAGACAAAAGCATGAGTGACTTTTCCACTACTGGGCTTCAGAGAAATGACTATGGTGCTTTATAATGCAAATGTTGTTAAAAGCACTTTGGTAACCCAGAAATCAAACAGTAACAATCTAAAATGGGCTGCCCCCAGAATTGTAAGGATGTTTAAATCACTCAGGAATAAACTATTTAAGCTATTTTGTACTTTAGAAGCACTTATTTTATATGTAAGAAAGTAGTAAGTTGAATAAAGTTATTTCTTTTCTATTAAAATAGATCAATGAACCTCTGCATAGCAAAATATTCCAGTAATGATTTGTTTTTCAAGTTCACATACAACTAAAACTACACGTTTTTCCCTCAAGTACATATTCAAAAATTCAGACTTTATCATGTGCCTTCCCCACAATATCATAATGAGGAATATTTCATTATATTCTGAGAATTAATAACACTTCATATGTGTGAGAAATGTACCCTACAGTTTTAAAACACACTTTCAAATTCATCATTTCACCCAATCATCACAGCAGTCCTGTGAGGTATAACAGGGGGGATGTTTTGTCCACATTTTATAAATAAGGCAGCGAAGGCTCAGAGAGGTCAAGTGACTTGCTAAAGGTTATTACTGAGCTAATAACTGGTGGATCCCGCTGGAATCCAGGTCATCTGCTATTTGCACTAAATGACACAGCCTCTAAGGTAAAAATATGCAAGACACATGCTCTTAAAAAGAAGAGGTATTTTCTGACTTAGCAAACCTCTGTTGAAAATATTCGGCTCAAAACCAATACTGTGGAAAATGTATCATCTTGGATTTTCAAGGATACTTGCTCCTTTTTAATACCAGTTGGATAACTTAACGTCTTTTACCATTTTATTCCAAAGCACACAGATGAAGTCTGGCGTGAAATGAGATGGATCATGGATGCTCTTCAGTATGCAAGATACAAGCAACCAGTTTCTGGCTTATACATCACTAAGCTGATAGACCTCTCAGATGAGCAGAACCTGAAGAAGATCAGCTCTACGTCATCACATATAGACTGTCTTCCATCCCCATCCCCATCCCCAGAGATGCACAGAAGAAAGGCAGTGAGTGGTAAGCAGTAAGGTCTAAAGTTACGTATTTCAGTCACCAGATTCTCAGTCCCCTCTCCACTGATGAGGTTCTTTTGTGCTGGGGCATTGGTCCCAGCAAGCAGTAGGAACACTGCTCAGTGGTAAAAGTCTAAAGGCATAAAGGGAACAAAATTGGAACCGTGGATGGGTGGGAAACCAAGGCAATCACCTGAGATCAACTCCCCTGAGGGGTAAGGAAGATCAAGTCCACTTCTAGCCCAAACTTCCAAGATACAAAAGAACCCAGAGCAGGGATGAGGCTTCAGAAGTGCAGAATGGAGTCCACTAGGATGCCAGGTATGGGCCAACTCACCTGAGGGACTCTGACCAAACCAAGTAAGGAAGGAGAATGGGCCCGGCTTTTAGTAAACAGGGGCTGACAGGAATGCGGCAGGAAGTCGATTCAGCCTGAGTAAGAGTTCAGGGCAAACTTCCCTCCCACATGGCACCCGTGTCCTGACATGGGAGGTGGAAAAGAGAGAAACCTTGGATAAACTAGCATCAGCCTAAAACCAAATGAGTAGGCTGGCATCATCATGGATACAACAAGCAGGAGAAAACGTACAGACAAGCTGGAGGAGATATCCAGCAAGTCACCTCCACTCTTGGGAATCACGTTTGAATTTACATGGCACATGCTAACCACAAAAACATGGCTGGGTTAACACAGATTTCTACAAAACAGCATTATACCTAAAAACAGAGAGAAAGCATACTAGGCAAAGGCAGTATAATGCTCCTACCTAGCACATGTTGAGAATAGGGCCATTTTTCTAGTCGATTAAAATGATGACATTCAAAGCATCTTTCTTGATTCTGTAGCTTCTAAGAGTTTCCATTTTATAAGCTTTACAATAATAACTGATATTTTTAATAAACAGTACTGAAATGTGGGCTTGTCCCATAGGGGGCAGCATGGTGTAGAAGAAGAAGCTGGGTTTGGAAATCAAGAGACCTGGATTCAAATCCCAGCTTTGTTTTCCTAGCTACGTGAGCTTGAACAGATTCCACATAGGTAAAATGAGAAAATCACACCTACACCTCAAAAAGCTACTTGTGAATAACACAATCTATGTCAGAGATGCATGGCATATAATAGACAATAAACTGTAGGTATCGTATTTAATGTTAGGATTCTTCTTATAGAAAACATTAGTGAGGATATGAGCCTTTGCTATGAGTAAGTGTATGTATGCTCCTATGTTTTAAAAACCTCAATGTCTAAAAATCAAAACGGGTCAGGGTTGGCAGAGTGGCTCAGTTGGTTAAGAGCTCGCTCAAGAGTTTGAGCTCTGAGCAACAGCGGTTTGAGTCCCGGCCTGAGCTGAGCAGCCGCTGAGCTGCCAACAGGTGGCAGGATGGCTCAGCTAAAACAAACAAACAAACAAACAAACAAAAAAACGGGTCAAGTGGGAGAACTTGAAAGACAGCTAATTTACATTACCAAAGGATTCTATGATTTACCAAA